GTCAGTAGTGGAGGAGTGATTGTTTAATGTGGTGGATGTGCCAATCAAAGGGGTTTTTTATCTGCACGTTAAGTGCTTGAGTATTCTTGTAGCTGCACTCATCCAAGCAGGTGGGGAATATTTCATCCAGTCCTTGTAGACAGTGCACAGACTTTGGGGAATCAGGAGGTGATTTGCTTATTGCAGAATTCCCAGGCTGTGAATTGTTCTTGTAACTAAAATATTTTAATGGCTGGTCTAGTGAAAATTTGGGTAATTATTAACTCCCCAGAATGTCGATACTGGAGAATTCCAAGTAACATGTGGAATATCAAGGGGGCAATGGTTTCTTTCCATGGGAATGGTCATTGCCAAGCACTTTCTGCGTCACAAATATTACTTGCCACTTAGCCCATGCTTGAATGTAATCCAGGGCTTGCTGAATATGGACATGGACGATTTTAGAGTCTGAGGATTTGCAAATGAAAACCATGCAATTATTGGCAAACATTCTCACTCGATGATGAAGGGAATGTCATTGTGGCACTAGCTGAAGATAGTTAAACTTGAGGCACTATCCTGAGGAACTCCTGCAGTGAAGCAGGGGCAGATTGATAGACTTGAATTTTCCCTCGGGCCCTTGGAGTGAAGGATGATCTCTTTTCATAGAATGTTCATCAAATCCATACAGTCCTATTGAGTCCACACCGACCCTCCAAAAAAAGCCCACCCAGACCCACTCTGGGTTCCTGGTGCTGTGAGGCAGCAGTGCTAACCACTCAGCCACCATGCCACCCCAAATCCACTTTTGGGTTGGCCTAACTGTTTAACGAGAGAACAAAACATGATGGGTCAGGAACACGCTGCTATGTCTTGCATTTATCCCAATATTGACCTTCACATAATGGTTGTGCTGTGTTGGACTGGGTAACATTCCAAATCCAAGGCACAGATCTTAAAATTGCAGGGACAAAGACAATGTTCCAATTTGGAAGAAATGCTGGACCACAAAAACCACCTTTGTAATTGGAACGTGAATTAAGTGGTGCAGTGTATTGATCACTGTTTCAAGCCTTTGCCAGGTAGGAGTATAGAGTACTGATGGCATGTATTGATTCAAGGCCATGCAGAGGTGGCACCCTGCCATTAACTATTGGGACACTCCCCTAGTGTTTAGGATAATATTGCTGTGCCACAAATCTGCAACTCCCCTCTCTGACTGGAGTAGAAACAATTTCTGCAGCAAGAATCCTACAATTAAACAATGTATGAATAGTACTTGTATCATAAAAATGCACATCTTTAAACTTCGCTGACTTTTTATAATGTACCTTGCTGGAGTGGATGTTAGCACTGAGAAAGTGTACATCTGACCTTTCAGTTGTCCAGCGTCAGCATCAAGCTATCTTGCAGATTAAATGCACAGTGAAGCTCCCTCTATTTGGCTCTGACAACATTACTGATTCTTAGCCACAGAGAAGTCCACTTAACTCAGCAGTGATTTAGTTAGTAACACTTTCACCTCCGAGACCAAAAGAAAGTTCTTGGGTTCAAGTCCTGCTTCAGAGCTCTCAGCACAAAATCTGGGCTAACACTGACCGTGTGCTCCTGGCAGAGTGCTATACCATCTGTGTATATCATCATTTTGGATGAAATATTTAACCAATGTCCTTTCCATCCAGTCAGCTGAATGTAAAAGAAACAATGGCACTACTGAAAGAACAGCAGTTGTATTCTCCCTAGTACCCTGACCAATATTTGTCCCTCAGTCAAGATAAGTGAGGCTAGGTCAGTTGCCTAATCTAAAAGATTAGCTGGTTCTTGTCTCTTTGGTTTCTGGGGCATTGCTGTTGCATTTCCAATACTGTAACATTAGCTAGACTACAGAACTACAACTGTTGGACAGAGTTTAAGAATAAGGGATCTCCCATTGCTATTGACTTGAGGACTTTTCTTTCTGAGGGTGTCTTTAGAACTTTATTCCCCAGAGAGTGGTACTGATCAGATCATTGAATATCTTTGAGAGAGGTGTATTCTAGACTAACAAGGGAATCAATGGTTATTATGCCTAGGCAGGAATATGGAGTGAGGCCACAGTCGGATCATTTGAATAGGCTAGAGGGGCCAAATGGCCTAATAGTGATCCTAATTCAGGCTGTCACAACTCGCCGTGGAATTGAACTGGAAAGCAAGCCCCAATATTCATGGAGTCATCGCAAAAGTTAAAGATGTTTTTCAAATAAATAAAAATTCTGTACTTTTTCTGACTTTCAGACTCAGGCTGACAGAAAGCACCAACTAGGTTTCTGTACTTAACCAGAATGATTATTTATTATGTGTAGGTAGACTTCAGCTACAGGTAAACAGTTACAAACCATCAGCATACTTAAGCTGCAAACTAAAACTTGAATCTGTTAATAAATCCACACTCAAAGACAGACACAGGAAAAAGACACAGGACAGAGGGAAAAACAGGAAAATAGTTCAGGGGTTGCTGAGATGATTCTTGTGTTGGTCAGAATGCGACTTCTTAGTCATTCTTCTCCAGATGCTTTTACTGGTTTGCAAGAGGCACAAGGTGACTGATTTACTTACTAAACAGCTCTCTATCTTATCAATTAAAATTCTCAGCTTATAGAAAGTGCTGAAGGGACAATAAAATTGTTTCCTTCAGGTTTAAAACTGTGGACAATGGCGAGACAGCCCCCAGCTGAGACCTGATGATTTCTCTGTATCTTGTTCCTGACCCCAAACTGTTCACTTACATGGGAACCAAACACATAGTTGTTGGCAAGCAAAGAAGGCTTTTGTCATCAATAACTAGTCACCAGTCCACAAACCAGTTAGCTTGTATTTGTCCATCAAAGCTCCACCAGTGCACAACCCTTCGGCTCCACGGAGCTCTCACCTACAGTGCGTATTGAGTATCAAATTACTTGCATTCAAACCATACTGCAATCCTTGGTTCATATCAGTTCATAATTAAGAAACTAAAAAAAGGACATAGTCTTTACAGTGTGTTCAGTAAGTGGAAATGCCTCATGGAATTGTACAGCACAGAAGATCCTTTGACCCATGGCTCTTAGGTCAACTCTTTGTACAGCTAACTAATTGGTCACTTTTATCCTCATTACTTTGGCAATATTTTTCCTAAGGTATTTATCTAATTTTCATTTGAAAATTATTACTGAATCTTACCCCCGCCAGCCCTTTCAGATGATGACTACTTGCTTTGTGGAAAAAATGTTTCCTCATGTTGGCCCAGGTTCTTTTGCCAATCACCTTTTAATCTGTTCCATCTGATTACTTACTCTTCTGCCACTGGAGGTAGTTCCTCCTTCCTTACCAAAACAGTTCGTGATTTTGTAAACTTCAATCAAATTTCTTCTTCAGCTTCTAAGGAGAAATGTCTCCAGTCTTTCTGTTAGCAAACCTTTGTACCATTCTTGTAAACCTTGCTTGTATTCTTGCAATTCACTTCCTTAAGCGTGGTGTCCAGAACTGAACAGATAAAAATAATTGAATTAGCAGTAATAGCGTATGTAGAAACCAATGGATTAGTTCTAATGGCTGTTACAGGGTCCTGGGGTGGGAATTGCAGTTATGACTCAGGAGCCAGACTGCTGGTTCAATTCCAGATTCTAGAAATATAGAATCTGTAGAATGTAGAAGCAGGCTTAGACCATTTGGCCATTCAAGCCTGCTCTGCCATCAATATGATTATCCAACTCATTACTCTGCTCCCATTTTCTTCCCATATCCTTGGATCCCTTTATTCCTAAGAACTACATATTTCTTCCAGGCACCTTCCCATGGATTTTTTTTTTTTAAAAGAGCTAAGTAAGTTCGTGGCTGAGGACTGGACTATGGGCTACGTTGTGTACTGCTCCCTTCCTCATTAGAGCTGAAACGAGCTGATGTGAGCAGTTTCTTATACCCCTTTCAGGAATTCCTCCGTCTTTGCTTTTAACACTCTTTTCCAGTCTCTGTTAGCATAATTAAAGTTTTCTGTTGTCAATAGTTTAGTTCATGCACTTTGCCATTATTTGCCTGCAAATTTGCTCCTCTGTTCTTCTTCCCACTGTTTGGTGGCTGGAGATGCATAGCCAGTACTGTAGTACTCTTCTATCGATATTTAAATTGACAAATGATATAAATACAATAACAAAATTTATTTGAAAATTTTTTTGATTTGTTATTTTTCCTTTCTCATATAATTTCTTTTATCAGTACTGCCAAACCACCTCTTTTTTCCCCCCTTCTTTATCTTTTCTGAGTAACTTGTAGTCAGCATGGTATTCTCAGTCTTGTCCTGCTTTGTGTCAAGTCTCTGATATTGCCACTAAATTATTGTCCCATATGGCTGCAGTTTACCAACCTTATGTACCATGCTTAGTCAATTTGCACACTTGTAATCCAAGGTCATATTAAGCTGCCTCTTACTAATAAACTATTCTTTCCTCTTCCTGCTGCTAGTCTCTCCCAATTTTGTGTGAGACTATTTTGCCCCCTTAGTGTCTACTTCATTAGCTGCAATCCTGACATCCTAAGACCAAAAATAAAATCTTCCTTTTATTTTCTTGCGTCATTATGTGTCATGCTTAATAACAGCTAGTTAGTGACATGTGTGGCAGTTGTGTTAGGTGTAGTTTTCAGACAGTTTTGTCATCCCAGGACAACCAGGATGAACTTTGGGATTGCCAAGATGCATTTCCTTTGGGCTCCTTGTTCATCTTAATCGTCTGGGCGGAATGTTCACCTGGAGGTCTGAGCTTCTATATCATCAAGTACTTGCAGTCTATTTGTGAGGAATAGTAGTTTCAAGCTGGTAATGCTAAACACAGATTTATATGTAGACCAGAGAATCTAATGTAGGGAGTGCCTGCACAACAGCTGGCACAGTGCATGGGAGGAGAGGGGCACAGTTGTGCAGCAGTGATGAGCAGAGTTTATAACCATGTGGAGGAGAGGTACGCATGCATACTGTACACTCTTATGAGATTATTGCTGAATCTCTGCAGAAGATGATATTCCACTGAAGCCTGAGAAAGGATGGGTCCACATGGATGTCCCAGAGTATGAGAAGCTGGAGTGGATGAAAGATCTGCCCAAACCCAGGCGATGGAAAACTAACGAGGTGAGCAATGGTAGCGTGTGAACGTTCTGTATGGCAGCTAAGTCAGAGATTGTGGGGCCAGGTGACCCTGTCACTGAGCTGTGAAAGTGGCAGAGCAGGGAGGGCCTGAGTGGCTGTGTGACAGAGCAGGGAGGGACCATGCCTCTGTGTGAACAAGTCACAGAAACGTGATGGACAGTGAGACTGAGTGCTTTGGGTCCCGCAGAGAAGTTGAAAGCACTGAGATGGAGTGGGCTTATTGAGGATCACTCTGAGTTTGAGTTGTGTAGAGTTTGAAATGCGAATGAAAAGCCTCCATTATCAAACATTAGAAGCTGTGATCCCTGCAAGTATGAATCCACAGTACTCTAACCTGCATTAGGAACAGAAATCTATTCTGTTTTCCCTTGGAAGTGTTATTATTTAACATCTCTCTTTTCATATTCAGGAGATGCAAGCAAGGTTCAGTTTCCTTGGTGACTTAATACCTCCAGGTGTCGATGTTCCAACTCACTTGGGACTCCACCACCATGGAGAGCAGCCTGAGGTAAGACCCTATTACATTGTATCACAGTCTAATACTTTGAACCACCTGTTCCACGTTTGTTCAAGTGAGGGCTGCAATATAAATAGTTGTAAGTTATCTTGCAGTCCGACGGAGCCCTAATTCACAATTTCTTGTCACAGTGTCTGCATTTTGGGAAGGATGTATTAGTCTTTGAGGGGTTGTACTAAAAGAGCTAAATAATGAGGACATTACGTGGACTAGATTGTATTTCCCTGAGTCAAGAAAATGAAAGGGTGACCTAATTGAGGTGGCTAAGATGGTTAAAGGATTTGTTAGGTTGGGTAGAGAGAAGTGATTCTGTCTGGATATGTTCTGGGGAAGGGTCACCGGACCCAAAACATTAACTCTGATTTTTCTTCACAGATGCTGCCAGACCTGCTGAGCTTTTCCAGCAACTTCAGCCGTAAAATTAGGCTGTTTAGGCTGATGCTAGGAAACACTTTTTCACGCAAGAGGGTGATGGAAGTCAGGAGTGCTTCCCTCTCCCTCAAGAGGTCTGCTGATGCTGAAGGGGGTTCAACTGAAAATTTCAAAGCTGCGATCAATAGGGTTTTTGATGGGCATTTTGATGAGGTTGATATAGATCAGCCTTTTGTGGCCTTTACAAATTTCAGCATATTTCCTGAAATGTCAGAACAACCCGAGTAACGGATGTAAAGTTGAAATATGGGTGCTCACTTTAACACTGCTATGGACCCTCTGGTTAGTTGAATTCTGAAGGTGACCTCAGGCTGATGAATGGGCAGTCTCTGATCTTTGAATGCCCATCATGTCTGCTCTGGCTCTTTGAATCAGCTATTCGATTGGCCCCACAACCCTGCTCTTTCTCTGCAGCAGTGACAGTTTCTCCTTTTCAAGTATTTATCCAATTTCCTTGGGATAATTACTTTAAGCAGTGCATGCCAAATCATAATGACTTCTATCAACCACTTACCTGCATGACTGGAGTCACATGTAAACCAGGCTGGATAATGACTAATGTTAGGGGCAGGGGTGAGATGGTATAATGACTCCTCCTTTACCTTCCGTATCCCTTGACTCACCACACAAAGCTTTAAAGAATTGTTTTAACCTCTGAGTGCTGAGACTCTGGAGCATAGACACAAGACAGTTTCTCTTTTAGGATTAACAAAATGAAAGATAAATTCATTCTCACTCTGGCTCGCACATAAGACACACACGAGACAAAAGATATGGCATGCACTTAAAGTTTTAAGGAGTCCAAAGAATTACTATTCCATGACCTTTTAAGATGGTAACTGGAAATAATCCAGGCTCGATATTTTATTTTGGCTAACTGTGGAAAATAGACAATAGGTTTCTGCAGCTAAGTTCACACTGGCTTGTTCCTTGCAGTAAGAAGTATCTGGTTTTGCTAGATTCAAAGCCCTAGTTGAATCCCTGTTGTGAAGATAAGGCTTAGTTCTGCAAATCCACAGGTAGCAGGATAGTCCCACTTATTTATCCATCAAGGATTCCAGATAAGGTCCTTCTTTTGCTGGATGGCATCATTTCTCCCTGTGGCTTTGTTTTTGCTCCGTCTGACTGACATTATGTTGTTGCTCAAGATGGATGTTGTTAAATGTTTCTCTGTCTGGTGACTGTATTATTGGTGTTCCCATTTGCCCTACAAATGGTCTCTGATGATATTAGCTTTGGCAGGCAGTGGGGTTTAGACCTTGGCCATTTTGCAACTCTTTGTAAAGTTTTATTAAGTCTATGCTGTTGTTGTACGTAGATTTCTGCAGAGATTTAGACGAAAGTAGCTGTTAAATCCACATACAGAACTGTTGTGTTTTTAATGTCTTCTCAGGAGTGTTCCAAAAAGGTCATTAACATCCCTGTCCAAATAAGCAGGTTACTTCTAGCCTCCAGCAGTTTCACTTATATTTGCAGGAAAGAAAGGTAGTCATCTGACCCCCATTTGATTCCATCTTGTAGGTTGCCCATTCTCTGTGTTGTAATTTTCAAACAAAAATAAGCTTTATTTTAAATACGTTTGTGGGTATGCCTGCATGGGTATCCTTCCCGACAGGGCGTTGGTCAAGTATATGGGTATTTAATGGGTGTACCTCCTCATTGTCACAGAGACAAGGTCCCTGTCAAATTAAAGGGCATTTGCTGTCTCTCAAAGCCGGAGGACCAATCACAGACTTTCCAACTCAAGACAAGTGGCGAGTATTTAACCACAAAGGTGATTCAACTGAAGGCATGCTCTCACCAACTTTGCTAAAACTTCAATTTAAAAATGGGTCTGAAGTATGGCCACTATTGCGGCAGTGAAGGTGAGAGAGACCTTTTACAGACTGGCTGCTTATCCATTCAGGCAGACAAGCAAGATCTCTGGTCCTGCCTAGAGCACTGCTCCCTGGCCTGGCTTTCCTTTTGGTTTCCATTTTAATTGGGCTTAAAGAAGCTCTGAACCTGTAAAACTGGAAACCCACAAGAGGGACAGGAAACCGTGTTGGTCCTAATGCCCTCCTGCTCAAAAATGGCTGCACTAGGGGTGGCACTGAGAAACTGCTAATTTCATGCCTCATATGTCACCATTCCTGGTGTGGCCTCACCCGACATTCAGTGTTAATACTATGTGATGAAGAGTGGTGAGTTATTTTCCATGTTCTGGTTGATATTTATCCCTCAACCAACATAACTAACACAGATTTTCTGGTCATTATCAGATTGCAGCTTATGGGAGCTTGTTGGGCGTAAATTGACTGCCACATTTCCTACTTTCTGAACAGTGGCTGCACTTCCGAAGCACCTTGCTGGCTGTAAAATGTTTTAAACCAGTTCTGACACAGGGACTCAATGTTAGCTCTGTTTCTTCCTGCACAGATGCTGCTAGACCTGCTGAGTTTCTCCAGCACTTTCTGTTTTTGTTTCAGATCTCCAGCACTTGCAGTACTTTGTTTTGTTGAACAAAAACAAAGTTGTTGGAAAAGCTCAGCAGGTCTGGCAGCATCTGTGAAGGAAAAAACAGAGTTAATGTTTCGCGTCTGGTGACCCTTCCTTGGAACATAATAAAACTAAAGGGCGTTTATGTTTTATTATGGGCATTATGTTTTATTATGTTTATGTTTTATTATGCCTTCTTTCTGTGCCATTTTGGCGGTTCAAAGCTGTTGCTCATCACCAAACTGGCGAACTGTTTGCTTGAAAACAAATCTTGTGTTTCTTTTTCAGCAAGCTGGGTATTCACTGCAAGAACTCTTCCACTTAGCTCGCAGTCAAGTCATTCAGCAACGAACCCTGGCACTTCAGACCCTGGCACGAATTATTCAAAAGGTGAGCTGGGTCTCTGGATTAAAACCACTAGGCCATCACTTCCCCTAATGATCAGTATCTTATTGAATGGAGAGACAGGCCCAAGGTGTTGTAATGCCATTTTTGATGTTCTTAACACTGTGGGAGGTACAGAAAACTTCAATCATTTACGTGCCTTTACTTCAGTCAGTCAAACGGTTTTAATCCAGAGACCCAGGTAATGTCCTGGGGATCTGTGTTCAAATCCTGCCATGGCAAACGGTGGAATTTGAATTCAATTTTAAAAAATCTGGAATTTAAGAGTCTAATGATGACCATGAATCCATTGTTAACCGTCAGGAAAAAAAAGACATCTGTCCTTTAGGGAAGGAAACTGCCATCCTTACCTGGTCTGGCCTACATGTGACTCCAGACCCATAGCAATGGGTTGACTCTTAACTGCCCTCTGGGTAATTAAGGGTGGGCAATAAATGCTGGTCTAGCCAGCGATGCCCTCATTCCATGAATGAATAATAAACAAAAATCTACTTCGACTCCACATATCTACTTAACCCTCATATTCCTTGATTCACTTAGTTCCCAAAATCATTCAATCTCTGTATTAAACATTGACTAACATGCAGTTCTGTCTGATGTAGAGAATTTAAAAGGTTACAACCTTCAAAGTGCAGACATTTTTCCTCGTCTCCGTTTTAAATGGCTTACCTTTTATATTTGAGATTATGACCTTTAGTTCTAAAGTACTCTGTTAAGCTCTTTCCAAATCTTACATGATTCAAAGCAATTACCTGACAGTTTTAGAACTTGTAGAGAGTGTAAGCCTAATTTTCTTGTAGGAAAACTGTCTGGAATCAATTTGATGAATATTTATTGCACTGTTTTGAGGCAAGTACATTCTTCCTTGGGTATGAAGAGCATAACTGTGCACAGTGTTCCAGGTATGGTCTTATTAACACCCTGTACAGTTGCAACAAGACTTCCTTCACTCTTGAACTCCAACCCCCTTGTATGTTAAATTCTTGGCATTCATGTACAGGGAAATCCCTCTGAGTCTCAACATGTACTTTCTCTCACCTTTTAACAGAAACATTTTAATTTTTATTTTATAGAAGAAAAACTGAAAGAACTTTGGATGCCGAAAATCAGAAGCAAAAACAGAAATGGCTGGAAAAGCTCAGCAGAACTGGCAGGATCTGTGGGGAGAAATCAGAGTTAACATTTTGGATCCAGTGTCTCTTCCTCAGAACATGCCAGATGTGCTGAGCTTTTCCAGCCATTTCTGTTTTTGCTTCTTATTTTTCCTATTGAAATGGATAAATTCAAATTTCCTGACATCTTATTCCCACCAGTGCCTTCTAGCACAATGGTTTAAAAAGTATATGTCACCTTGGTATGCCTTTGTTTCCTCTTGACAACTTAATTTCCCAACTAGTTTTGTACTGTCAGTAGACTTGGATTATTCCACGGTTTCCTTGTCTGAGCCATTGATATATATTGATATAGCTGTGACCAAGCATTGATCCTTGTAGCTTTCCACTCATTATGCCTGTTATTCAAAAAATTACCTTTTCATTTCTACTCTGTTTTCTGTTTGGTAACCAATTCTTGATGCATTTAATATATTATCCAATACATGAGATCGGAGTTGGTCAAATGAATTGATTGCTTGGGCCCGCGCAGAACAAGCAGGTATGTAGTGGTAAAGGGAGCATTTTTGTGTGTGAGAGGGGAATGCATATGCTGTGTGTGTGTGTGTGTGTGTGTGTGTGAGAGAATGTGTGTGTAGAAGGAGGATGTACATTGGGGAGAGCGCGAGTGAAAGAGAGCTTGTGTGTGAGAGTGAGAGAGGTTGCTGCATGAGGTTGAGAAGGTGCTCCATGTATAGGATAGTTTGCGCATGCGCACGCATGAGAGGGGGGTTCAGTTGTGGGAGAGAGAGGCTGTGCAATCACATGGATTACAGAGGGAGAGTAAGTTAGGGTGTGTGCACGTGTGGAGGTGATGTCAGTCACTGAGCAGGTGAGGAATATGAAGAAAAGGTAAGGTAAGGTGTGCCCATGCTTGGGAAGGGGAGGGCATGTGTACATATGGGAACATGAGAGGGTGGACGTGCGTTAGGGACAGGAAGGAGGTGTGTAGAGGGAGAGGAAAGGTGCATGCATTGAAGGTGCGGGGTGGAGAGGGAGGGCATGCATCAGTGTGGGGGTGGAGAGGGATGGAATGCATGCACGAGGGATGAGAAATTATCTGAGAAAGAGGTAGGGAGTTTGCATGTGTACTTACAGGTGTAGGAGGAGGGTGAACGGTGTGAGAGAGGTTTGCACCCTGCGTGACAGTGAGTGAATTTCCCTGTGTCAGAGAGAGGAGGGCATGCGCTTGTGTGAGGCAATGGCATGTGCATTGGAGAAGGAAGATGTAGGAGAGATGAGGAGACATGTTCAGAATGAGGGGCAGTGGAGGGTGCCATGCATATGTGGGAGAAAGAGAATGTAGGAGGGAAGAAGCATGCAGAAGAAGTTAAAACACATGTGCTGTCAAAGGTAGGGAGGGTGAGATCACTAGAGGAAAGGAGGGCGTGTTGCCCATGAGAGAGGTGACGGAGAGTGGTGTCACAGGAACGAGGCGGACGGTCTGTGGAGCCACGTGGGGAGGGACATGTATGGCATGCATCTCGGAGAAGAGACTGGGAGGTGGCTTAGAGGGTGTGTGAATTTTTAGAGACTGGGATGTTGTGCATGCGGGGGGGGGGGGGGGGAAGGTGTCTGGTGTAGAGGGGAGGAAAGGCATGTGAGTTAGTGCATGGGCAAGAGGGAGGGCATGTGCGCATATATGAGAAGGAAGGAACAGGACAGTGTACATGTGTGTTAAAGGGAGAGGAAGGGTGCGTATGCGTGTAGGTGGGGAGAGCGACGGTGTCCTAATCACAAGGACACAGATCTTCATTTGAAGTTGATGTGGAATTGGGGGCTGAGCAAGATTTGTGAATGGGCTGAAGTGAACTGAAATGAGGCCACCTGGGAGAAAGAGTGTTGGAATAGTACAATGGAAAATTGGCAAAATAAACAGGTGAGGGTTTCAGTGGCAGATGAGCTGATTTCAGGTGAAGAGAGAGGTGAGGTTATGGAAGTGAAGGTCGGTGAACTTAGTAATGAGGTGGACATGTTTAGATGCTTGGTTTGGGGTTAAATAGGATGACAACATATAAACGGCTGCACAGATTGTAAATAGTTCAGCCTCGGAGAATGGGCTCGGAGGGGAATGGCATTTCTGGCGAGAAACAACATCTTTGGGAGGAAGCTTTGGTCTTACCAATATTCCAGGAGGAATTTGACGCTCATCAACCTCTGGTGAAGATATATGCTGTGTACAATGGACAGAGGAAAGCAATGCCACAACCAGATGTGCTACAGTAAGCACTGTTTGTCAGTGATATCCATATCTTGTGAATAAATAGAAAGAAAATGTGTTAGTTTGGACCAGAAATCTAACAGCAAAGAAGTATCAGAATCATCCGTTTGGCTGGGAAAAGCTAGAGTCAGCTGTCTGTCAGTATTTGTGAAAGCTGACTGTGCCTGATTGTGCTAGGATGGAAGCTCCATGTAAATCAGGAAAAGAATCGGGTCAATGCTTGGGAGTTCCAGATCTGATTGTGCAAGACTGGGAAGAGAAGCATTGCTGGAAATTCTGACTTGCAATCAGAGGGGAAAGAATGGAGCCAATGACTCAGCTGGACAACAGAGCCATTAGTGGTAAACAGCACAGAAATAGGCCCTTCGGCCCAACTCATCCATGCCTACCAGGTTTCCTAAACTGAACTAGTCCCATTTGCCTGCATTTGGCCCATGTCCCTCTAAATCTTTCCTATCCATGTACCCATCCAAATGTCTTTTAAATATTGGAATTGTTCCCACCTTTATTACTTCCTCTGATAGCTCATTCAATATACGCACTACCCTCTTGTGTGAAAAGTTCCTTCTCAGGTCCCTTTTAAATCTTTCCTCTTTCACTTTAAATCTACCCCTCTGGTTTTGGACTCCCCTACCCTGGGGAAAAGACCCTAGCAATTCACCTTATCTATGCCCCTCATGATTTTATAAACATCTATAAAGTCACCCCTCAGCCTCCTTTGCTCCAGGTGAAAAAAGTCCCAGCCTATCCACCCTCTCCTTATAACTCAAACTCAGAAAGGCATTGGAGAAGGATCTTGTGGTTGACCATGCCAAGATCTACATGCAAGTCAAAGGTGCAGGAGCTGAAACCCGGGGAGGACATGAGGGGCAATAGGAGAGGAACAAGACAAGGACAAGATTTGGGGATATAACAGGATCGGCAGGATAAAGTTCACCTTTGCGGAAAAGCAGCAGAAGGTGGTGAATTCAGGATTGGAATGACTGTCTGTGAAGCATGCCTGACTCCATTATTCAGTTATTCCACTTACTATTTTAATGAGATTCATAGAAAATATCATTGTTGCCATGGTTACAGTGCAACTTGCCAATAAAATTTCAAAGCAGCTGCATAATTTGATCAAATGTGTCAAAGCAAACAGATTTTTTTGTGATTTACCAAAATAGAAGTGTTTCCTGCAGCAGAATTTTAATTCCCCTCTTTCACAAGGCATGGCTAGGACTGTTTATGTCCTTGAGGTGATGAACAAGCTGCTCACAAGGTTTGGGACCCCTTGCACCTTCACTGCTTTTCCTTCTCTTCCACATCCTAATGTGAGGGTCTTTACACTGTAAACACTTGGTGCTTTCCCCTTCTTCTGATGTTCAGGACTGAACATACGTTTATTCTCTATCTCACTTTCCAGCTTGCTACTTACTGTCATGCACTCACTCATTTTCTTAGACAAAGTCTTTTACTCTCTAATGTACACATCTCTTTCTCTTAATTTCTCTTTTGCTCTTTCCTCTCTCTCACAAACAATGTAACCCTGTTCCTCTCTTTTTTTCTCCAAGCTCACTCGTGTGCTTTCTTCTGTTCCCGCACACTCCTTTATTATCTCTCTTGCTCCCTCATTCGCTCATCTAGTTGCTGCCTCATAGTTTTTCTGTTGCATTCTGCACACTGTCGGGTGCCATCTTAACTGAGAGATGTTTCAGTGGCTGTGATAAGACAAAGCCAGACTGATCATCTCAAAGCATTTTGACCTTCGAGTGCATCAACCTGTTATGTAAGTATCGCAACACTCAATTTAGACATGGCATGATCTTGTAGATATCAACTTGTGGAGAATGCGGTGGTGCAGACTTTAGGCAAAGATTGTATTCTGGTCCATCTTGATGATTCATTATCAAGGAGCACACAGATGCATATGGTTGCAGTTCACACCTGAAAAGTGGTTACATGACAAGGTACTATGGGGTCCATACCATAACCAGTGTTTTAGGAGATGAGACAACCAAATTGAAAAGGGTGACTTCAAAGGAAGTTGAATGAGTACCTCTTGTTGGTTATGAGTTGTGTGGTGCCCTTATATTGGGTTTTTGTTTTGCTTCTTTACCAGGCAAAAGCTGGTGATTTTTCCTCATTGCTTAAGTACAGTATCTTACGAATGCTCCTGGATGCTGGTCTCCTGTTTCTCCTACGGTTCTCGCTGGATGACAGTGTGGAAAATGTGATCGCTGCCTGTGTCCAGGCCCTGAAAGCACTTCTAGTCTCCCCGTTCGATGAGGTAAGAATCCTGACCCTTAAAGTATGTTTGGTGTTCGAGAACTCGATTTGTGCACCTTGACCCTGGGACATCTTTGTACAGCTATAGCTTGGTGTAGCTTCAACCAGTCAGTGGGAGTAGAACTAAGTGAAGGATAATTGATATTCAGACCATGCCTAGTCTTTCACTGCCCTGTGTGACTGCATGATTACAGGGTGCTGTCCAGACTTCTGCTATCTTGTATTGAGGTTCACTCTGTTTACTCAGACAAACAAACCTGCTCAGACATTTCAAATCAATTCCCCAGGAACTGACCTATGTAAATATTACTCCTGCAGTCACTGACCCTTTGGGATATTGCTCCCAAAGTCACCGACCCTCTCAGAAACCACTGCCATGGTCACTGATGCTGTCCAATCCTCCTACATAAATTGTAGGTCTGTGACTTCTGGCATGGGGTTTGAAAGCTGAGGCTATTCCTCTGAAACCTTAATGCTGTCTTACCGAGCCTTTCTATGCTGGGTATATGCTTGTTTTGTTTCTGCTTCCTATCTACTAATTGCTTAAGTCTGCTCTCCGCCTGAGTGGTGCGGCTATTCATTGCGTTCAGAGACCTTCAAATGCAGAAAGGAGCTCCTGCAACTCCCCTTTCCTGCTCGCATTGAGTGTACCGAGGCCCCCCCGATGTTTTGCCTTGCTGTATCACATTCCCTTATGATCAGCGTGCAGCACTTCCATTGTGCAGTTAATGAGTTTTTCTCTGGTGGTTTGCTGAATCCCTCTGTCACACCTTCACAGCTCCAGGCTCTCTCAACATCAGCCACCTTTAACAGTGATGTGTGGGCCTGCAAATCTCCGGGCCTTGCTGTCCATCGTGCACTGCACCTGTCTGGAGAGGGGCTCCTAATCCATTGGTAATCTCCATTAACCTGAGTTTATGCCCCATCGGCTGGATGACTATTAAATTAGGCTCCAGTCTTCCAGGATTGTGATTTTTTTTTTCCATCGCACTGGGTTATTTATGAGCTTGGTGTTGTGAAAGCCATCAGGCATCTGGCTTTAAACTGTTTAAAAACTAGTTCTGTCTCTTTCAGCATTGTCCCTGAGGCACTGGAAGCAAGTGCAGTTTTCAGATCAAGAAACATGTGCAGTCAGGAGCTGGAAGAGAGATTACAGAAATACCAAAGTGTAACAGCGTAGAGGAAGCCATTCAGTCATTCATGTCTGCACTGGCTCTCCAGATAACCATTATGACTCAGTGCCATTCTCCTGCCATCTCCCCGTACCCGTGCAAGTTTATTCTATTTAAATAATCATCCAGTACCCTCTTGAATGCCTCAATTGAACTTGCTCCACCACCTCCAGGCAGTGCATTGCGGACCCAGCTGCTCGATGTGTGAAAGAATATTTTCTCATCTCACATTCGCTTCTTATTTTTGCGATTCAATTGAATCTGTGCCCTCTCATATTTGACCTTTTCACAAGTGGGAACAGTTTCTCCCTGTCCACTGTGTCCTGACTCCCTCTGGATTTTGGAAACTTCTGTCCCATTTGCTTCCTTCTCGTTGAGGAGAACATTGCTAAAATTAGATCTTCAAAGGGAGGTGGCTAGTAAGAAGAGGAGAGGAAGCTGTTGAGTGAGACTGGAGAGAAGGTTTAGAATGAGAGGTGCTGGAATGTTGGGAGGAAGACAGAGACAGAAAGAGAGGAAGGGGATGTAAAGAAGGAGACTTAGCTAAGAGAGGAATGGGATTAAAGGGACAATGGAGGTAGTTGGGATGGAAGGAGAGCAAAGGGACAGGAGGAGGAGCTAAGTATTGAGGAAGAGAACAGATTGGATGGACGGAGTTAAAGAAAGAAGTGGTGGAGGAGGAATGACCGGGAACAAAGGCAGAGAAATTAGATCAGTTTGGAGGTTAGCTTCAGAATTGGGAGTTGTAAGGGGAATGGTGAGCTTCAACTCCCTTCAAAAGAACTTGAAGTGTCGTCGTTAATATGTTTGAGTGTTTGTGAGAGGGGACCACACTAGTGATGTTGCTTAACTAGTATTTGCTTACCTCATCTTATCCCTTTAAACAGTCACTGTCAATCCATCTGCAGCACTCCGACAAGACTGGGCAGCTGATTTGGCCTTAAAATAAGATTGTGAAGCAATATGCATCACATGTTCTGTTCTCAGACCTGCAAAACATTTTTATTTTTTGCATCAATCGCAGTATGCGTGGGAAAGTTAAATAGTTGTGAAAACATTTGGTGCTGCAGAACAGAGATTGACCCAATTGCTGCCAGTAAACATGAGCCCCTTTCCCACAGGAATATCTCGACAGGACCTTCTGCTGGTACTTGGGAGCTTCTGTATTTCCCCTTCGACCTAACGAAGCGGAAGAGGATGATGAGGATGAGGAGGAGGAGGAGGAGCCGAAGTCAAAGGGAAATGAAAATTCCAAGTCTAAGGAGGATAAGAAAGCAGACCCAGATGTTGCTCGTGCTGACACTGTGAAAGTAATGCCTTTTAAACATCTTGCATTGCTTTACAGAGATATTTCAGATGGTACAGAATAATTCATTTAAAGCCATTAGATCGGGTCTTGACTCTTTTTTGCCTCCTTATTCATCCATATGTGGCAGCCATGCCCATTTACACTAGTGACCCATTTGCCACTCCATCATCCGTGCCCTGTGTCGTGTTGGATTGTGTGCAATCAACAGGGTTGTATTATAGAGCTTACAGAGGAAAAGAAACTCCCTTGAGGTTGTGGGAGCAGAGAGGCCTGTGAACAAACTGATTTTCTGCATAGATTGTAGGGAAAGGAATGTCTACTTGATCTTTTAACCAATTAATCGTGTGCTACAGGTCCAATCTTTTGGTTAATTCCTGGCCTTAGCTGCATTATGGGTTTGAATTATGTGGTTTACATGAGATTTGTTATTTGATAGTGTCTTTCACACCCTGGGGATATGCGAAAGATACTTAGAGCCAATTCAGTAGCTTTGAAGTGTGGACACTGTCGCCGTGTTAGAGGCACGACAGCAAATTTGCACAAGCCAGCTCCCACAAAAATCTTAACGCGGCAGGGTCAGGCAGCATCTGTGCATTGACCTGGGAAAAGTAGTTTAATGAATAACAGAATTGTTATGATGCAAAAGGAAGCCAACTGATCCATTGTAGTTGTATCAGCTGCCTGAACAAACAACAATTTTGTGCTATTCTCCTACCTTTACCCCATAATTCCTATATTTGAATAAGCATCCGATGCTCTCTTGAACGACCTAAGTGAACCTGCCTCCTCCACACTGCCAGGCAGTGCATTTTAAACTCCAACTACTTGCTGCAAGACATTACATTTGCTTCTTTTGAAAATTATTTTAAAATTTTTGTGCTTTCTCCAGAGATGCCACCGATCCTGCTGAGTGTTTCTAGAATTTCCAGTTATAATTTCAAAAACACACAACTGGAGAAGGAACTGTGAACACTGTTGGGAAGTTTGTAGATGACACAAGATAGGTAGAGGGACAGGTACCACCGAGGAAGTGGGGACGCTGCAAAGGACTTGGACAGCTAGGAGAGTGGTTGAAGAAGTGGCAGATGGAATACAATGTGGAAACGTGAGGCTGTGCACGGTAGGAAGAATAGAGACGTAGGCTATTTTCTAAATAAGGAAAGGTTTCAGACATCTGAATACAAAGGGACTTTAGGAGTCCTAGTTACAGCATTCTCTTGAGGTTAATACGTAGGTTCAGTTGGCAGTCAGGAAGGCAAATGCAATGATTGCAATTGTTTTAAGAATGCTAGAATACAAGAGCAGAGATGTATTACTGAGGCTGTATAAGGCTCTGGTCAGACACCAATTTGGAATATTTTGCCCCAAATCTGAGGAAGGATGTGCTGACCTTGGAGGGGGTCCAGGGGAGTTTCACAAGAATAGTCCTGGCGGGTGAAGGGCTTATAGTATGAGGAATAGTTGAGGACTCTGGGTCTGTACTCGATGAAGTTTAGAAGGATGAGGGGGACCTCATTGAAACTTACAGAATGCTGAGATGCTTAGATAGAATGAACATGGAGAAGATACTAGGACCCAAGGGCGCAGCCTCAGACTGAAGGGATGACCCTTTAGAAATGCGATGAGGAGGAATTTCTTCAGCCAGAGGGTGGTGAATATTTATTTATTTATTGATTGATTGATTGATTGATTGATTGATTGTGGAGCTCATTGCTGCAGAAGGCTGTGGAGACCAAGTCATTGGGCATCTTTTAAGACAGAGATGGATAGTTTATTGATTGGAAAGGAGAATAATGATTGTATGAAGCAGGAAAATGGGGTTGAGAAACTGATAAGCAAAGATCGAATGACTTAATTCTGCTCCCATACCTTACGATCTTATGGTCTAAAAGTCAGTTCTTAAACTGCACCAGTTTGCCAACTATGCTCAAAGTAGACTCTCGATTCTCTGATCTGCAACATTTCTCCGTTATTCTTTCCCCTGCATCAGGGTTTGTTGAAGATGAAAGTGCTTCACCGTTTACGTTATATCCTCGAGGTTGTTCGACCTATTCCCTCGGTCAGTCTTGATATATTGGAGATCTTGACTCGTATAGCAAGACACTCCTCTGAGGCTTGTAATGAGGTAAGCAATTTAGTGTCAGTAATTGTTATCGTTAGTCAACAGCTGTGCAAGTGATAATTTTGAAGCAAGAGTGTGCCTTTTGTAACGTCAAAACATCCCAAAGGATTTTAAAGCCAGTGAATTGCTTTTGAAGTATATTCCCTGTTGTAAAGTAGCAGTTGCAGCAGCCAATGTGTCCCTAACAAGCTCCCATCATCATAAAGGTCATCAATGACCCTAAAATGTATTTCAGTGATGCAGACTGAGATACCTGGAGAACTTCCCTGAAGTTCTTTGAAACTAGGTTCTGAAGTTACATGAGTCAGGGCACATGTTGGAAATTCAAGACCAGAGTGATCTCCTGAAATTTTGATCCCAAGCTCAGGCAAAGAGGAGCTTCCCAGATCTCCCTATCTCCTTTCTGACTCCTCTCCTCCCCAAGTTGGCCCGGAATTCTATCTAATTTCTCATGTCTCCCAGGAAATCTCATGGTTTGAATGTGAAAAGAGACATTTATGTTGTGACATGCACACAGTTTTCAAATTATGTAGGATGGGCTGCATTGATTAGGGTGGCTTTATTGTCTTTCTGTAAAAACTATTAAAAGGGTCCAAAGGTTGTTTATGGAAGATTGTTTCTTTAATCTCCGCCTGTCTGCCTTTCTTGTTCACCCAGATTCTGGGGTGCCCGAGGCTGCTAGACACTATCGTTTCGGAGTTTCTGCCGTCCACCTGGAAGATTCAGACTCCGAGAACAGGCGAGCCGATGACTAGTACCCACAGTGTGCCAGTTGCAGCTGCCATGAAACTTACCCGTGTCCTGGCATGTGCTGGAAGGAATATGTCAGCTGTTCTGGTGAGGGCCATCTTAGTTTGAGCCATTCGTTCTTTGCCACACCTCAACAGCAACTGAAGGGAATTATTGTGTGCTATCCCTTTAAGATTGTTTTTGTTTCGGTTGACTTTTTCAATGCTCATGTTTTTTTCCTCACATTTTCTTCATGCCTTTTAATGTGTCCCACTTTCAAGAGATGATGTCACTCTTTAATGACGGAACCAATAAGCATTGCTTCAATTAGGGTCAATAGCTGCTCATTTCATGTTATAACTGTTGTCTGTTTAAAAAAAAAACAATTCTAACCTTCATTTTAATTCTTGTGACATTATTAACTTTGTCCCCTTGCAACATTTCTTTGGCCAATCTGTCAGTATTTTACTTATCATTATACAGAATTATGAAGAACGTACAGGCCATTTGGCCCAACTGGTCTTTTGTACTATTTATTCTTTACACAAATTTGTATAATTCCAAGTCTGGGAGTACTTTATGGGGCAGTGTAGAATGAGCTTTAGGCTCAATTTCACCCAACTATCCTTCCCCTTGGAGTGTTCGAGCCAACTCTGGGGCGCCTTAGCAAAAAAATTGCTCTTTTTTCCAAGCATTGTTATTTCTGACTTCAGCTAACACACAGACTGTTCCCACAGTCAACATTAAAAACGATTGGGAAAAAAATAGTCCATTTAGAGAAGTAGTTCATTAGGGAACCAAATATAAACATTTGCAAGTTTGCTGATGATGTAGTGCTAGACAAAATTTTGAGTTGCATGGAGACGTCTTTTAGACAAGTTTAGTGAGTGGGCAAAACATGGCAGATGCAACACGAATATGGCTTAATGTGAAATTATACTCTTCAGTATGGAGAACAGAAAGGCAGTGTACTATTTAATTGGTGATATATTGGGAAGTGTGGATGAGCCAAGGGATCTGGGTGTCCTTGTACGCTGATCAATGAAAGTAGATAGGCAATTAGAAAAGCAGAATAGCTTTCATTGCAAGCGGATTTGAATTCAGAAGAAGGAATGTCTTACTGCAGTTATGTAGAGCTTTGGTAAGACCACACCTGGAGTATTATGTGCAGTTTTGGTCTCCTTGAGAAAGAATATACTTGTTGTAGAGGGAATGCAGCAGAGGTTTATAAGGCTGATACTGAGGTTGATGGGACTATCCTGTGAGAAGACATTAGTTTGGTTGGGCCTGTATTCACTCGAGTTTAGAAGGATGATTGGGCCTCTGATTGAGATATATGAATTCTAATAGGGCTTAATGGACTAGGTGCCGGGAGGATCTTTACCCTGATTGGGGAATGTAGAGCCAGGGACCATAATCTCAGGGTACAGGCTAGACCATTTAGAACTGAGATGAGAAAAAATTTCTTCACTCAAAGGATAGTGAGCCTGTGGAATTCTCTATCTCAGATGGCTGTTGAAGCCAAGTCACTGAATGTATTCAAGAAAGAGAGAAATGCATTTTTAGATAATAAAGGCATCAGGGGTATTATGAGAAAGCAAGAATATGTCTTTGAGATAGAGGATTGGCTGTGATCATATTAAATGGTGGAGCAGGCCTCCAAGGGCCAAATGGCCTACTTCTGCTCCTAGTTTTTATGGTTCACTAATGAGTGGTTTATAGTTGTGGGCTGCACACACTTGCTGTGTATAACTTGCTCAGATGTATGAATTACATTATGATAACGTATGAAGCAGCAGGCTGCTTAATAACCCATGTTTGGTGCTGTCATGTGTATCTTTATGCAGTTGAACAAACACAACATGAAGGAGCGAATTGGGAGGTTCGTAGCAGAGGATCCTTGTGATCTGCCACTGGAGCAACAAGAGGCCTTTGCGCTGAGCATTGAGGCCTTGCGCTTATGGGCTGTTGCAGCGAACTATGGACAAGCATGTGATCTGTACAAGTGAGTGTGAGGAGATAGGGATCAGATTGATGCTTTTATCTGAAAATGTGCTGAATGTATGTGGGTTTGAATGGTGTGAAGTAGATATGTTCAGGAGAGTTTTGCATATGCTGACTGGTTGGGTATGATGAAATAGGAAGATTGGTAGGAACTGGGCATGCATGATACATGATTTGAAATGTCGGGTGTGCTGTGTGGGTACATTCTGGGGTTTGGAGTATATTTTTGTGATTGGAGGATGGGGGTGTGCTGTTTTCAATTTCTGTTTGGTCCTGGGGGTTGCGTGCGACCAGAGTGGAGGGTAAGAAGGAGCAAAGGGTCTAGTGAAGATACTGAAGGCAAAAAGGGCCAACTGTTTTCTTTTTCTGACCTGCCATTCCCATATATTTGCGTCTTTCATGAAATCAGAGACATTCACAATACTCGTGAAGTGGTATTTTCACACAACAAACAGCAATGGGGTAATGCTCAGGCAATCTGCTTTAGTGATGCTAGTTGTGGGATAAGTGTTGGACAAGATACCAGAAAGGGCCTCCCTTTCCTTCCTTCGATTTTGTTTTAAAATCTCTGGAATGGAACGTAAATCTTCTGAGTTTCAGGCGAGTCTGCTGCCCACTGAATTCTGGCTGGTGTAGGTCGAATGTGTGTTTAGTTTTTCTTCCATGTGGGAGGAGGGGTGCCCGAGTTACCCCAAGATAGTTTCAGCACTGAAAGTCTCTGCTCATTTGAAGGGAGAGCCATTATCCTCTTATAACGCAACTCATTTCTCTTTGTGTTCCAGGGACTTGTATCCTGCACTGATGAAGATGCTTCAAACACTACCGAAACTTACCTCTCAGCCAATGGAGGATGGCCAGTTGTATGGATTTTACATGCAGAGAGCTGAAGTGTTGATTTGCCTCTTGATCAACATTACTAACAGCACAGGCTGTACTGCTGAACTGCAGGCCCAGCTCATCTCCAGGTACCTCTTGGAGTCTCCCCTCTGACTGTTCTGAAGCACCAGGTTGGGCCATTTGCCATTTTCTCTTCGTGTGCCTCAGATCAAACCCTGCTTGCAGCTGAGCTGGAAAGTTGCACATCTTGGCTCAGTCATCACTGACCTTTTATACCAGATTCCAGTGGGCTCCACGCCATTGCAGCCTGTGGTCTCCTATTTACTGAGAAACCCACGCAGATAGAATTTGGGGTAATTCTATTTGGGGTAATGGAGTGCAGGCTTTAGTGTGAACTCAGAATTGGGGTCCCTCCCCACATGGTTCTGCTTTCTCATTTTGCAACTAACCCACTTGTGTGCCTTCCTTCATTATTGAGGTTGAGGCTCATGCTCTCCAGGTAACAATGTGAATCAGGTCAGAAAGGATTGCTCCTTTTCATAGTAACTTTTGATATTCCTTGTTGGGGCATGCACCCAGGGTGGCTGCAACCATGTTCCATTTGTCACCCCATAATTCATCTCAGTCATTTATGAGAACCTTAAAATTCAAATTTGGTGACAGCACCAAATTAGGAAGTTGCAAAGTGACATTGATTTTCTCTAAGCTTGGTCAAGAGTTTACTGAGGATTGGTGGGGCCAATTAGGGACCAAAATGAAGATCTCTTCGAGGCAGAAGGTATGGCTGAGGCACCAAATGAGGACTTTGCATTGACGTTTATAAAGGAAGAGAATTCTACCAAAGCTATAATAAATGAGCTTGTGAACATCCTGGATGTAGGAAAAAAAAGACAGGGAAGCGGTTAGTATTTAATGTAGATAATTCTGTCAGTCTGGATAAGATGTATTATGAGTTTTTGCTGGAAGTAAATGTAAATATTGCAGAGACGTTGGCCTCAGTGTTCCAGTCGCCTTTAGCTAAAGGGATGATCCCAAAGATTGAACGATTTCAAGTGCCAATGCACTAGCTCAGGAAAGGAGAGAAGGATAAACCTGGCAATTAAAAACATTTAGAACTTTCTAAAGCAACAATCTAGGAGGAAATATTCAAATTGGTTGGACAAGAGACCTGTTCCTCTGCATTATACTCTTATGTTAAAAAAAAAATGGCCATGTATGCAAACATCTAAAATGGCTTCAGGAAGAGAGAAGAAAGAGACCCACAGTTGCATGTGTATAATTTTTTGAAAATGGTTAACAAACAAGTTGCTGTAAATTGTGTCATACAAGTTAACCTGGCATATAAGACATTTTCTCTGCGTTTACGTCCATTCTCCTTTTTGGCTGCTATATGCTGTTATCTGCATTAGTAGTTTGGCTCAATTTGTTTTACTCTCCAAATGCATGTTTTACTGACTGATATCTTAAAATTGGAGGTGAGAGATCAAGCAGGTGATGTTGATTTGTTTTGCCAAGACTCTGGGAGTTTAAGGCATGCCTACTCGTTGTGTGGGATGTCAATAACATTACAATATGGTCACTACCCACATGTCTGCTGGTGGTTCACTTTTATATTTGGAGGGGTTTTCAAAGCTTCAAAGCTTGACTTGTATGTCGACATCTGTGCTAGTAAAACACACGGGATCCTGGGAGAGACATGGACGACAAAAGGTCAGCATGCTAACTTGATAATTTAAAACATGATTTAGGTCCAGCTGGAGTATTGTGTCCAGCACTTTAGGAAGGACGTGAAGCTTCAGGGAGGGTGCAGAAAAGATTTATTGGAATAGTTCCAGGGATGAAGTTCTGCAGTTGTATAGACATAGGTTGGAGTTGATTTCCTTTTAACAGAGAAGACTAAAAGGAGATTTAAGTATAATGAAAATCACGATCGGCAACTCATAAAGAGTAACTGATTCTAATGACAGAAGGGCCAGTAATGAGAGGGCACAGGTTTAAACGGTTTGGTGAAAGAACCAGAGATAACATTAAAGATGAACACTTTTCTTTTGCATTAAGTGGTTATGGTTTGAAATTTGAAACCTGATGGGGTGAAGTATACAGAGGCAATAGGATCATTTAAAAGATTAAGTACTTGGACGGAAAGATATTCCAGAGCTGTGGTGGTGTGATGAACTCGATTGCTCTCTGTAAGAGCTGTGCAGGCTTGCTGTTACATTATTCTGTCATTCTAGGTAAAGCAGAAGAGAATGGGATGTTACGCTGACAGGGTGGGAGGAGGCTTTTGCTTTGGATAAAGTTGAATCGAATGGCCTAATTCTGTGATGTAAATTCTAAAAATATTGAAAGCATATCTCTTCGACACTGCTTTCCGTCACCTCCCTTAATCTTGCCTCTGTCTCCTTCCCCTGCTGTGCTGGAGCACTCTGGAGCATTAAGGTGCGATATGAATATGCTGTAACAACATAAGAATTTGTCCTATGCCTAATCTCATATTATTATCACACTGCTGTACATTATAGTCCTGCTGGGCAGCTTGGCGCCACTGTTTATGATTGAAGCAGGTCTTAGACTGACATAAGGCGGCTGTGGTAGGTTTGCAGACAGATGTAACGTGACTGGAGCTTGATTGTGGGCATGTGGAGTTGGGGGGAGGGGGTAATCGTGTCAGGGTCGATGACTATTGCTAAGCAACTGTTATATACAGCAACAAAGACTGATTTTGTTTTCAATGGCAGGACACTATTTTTAATTAATGCTACCTATTTTTGAATGCTTCCCAACAGTAGGGACTGACAATCACACAGTCAGAATTAAAGTGATTGACGCCTCCTTAGTGTGCACAGCATTTTAGTGTGGGGAATTAAAGGAAACACAAAGATACACATTAAACGTCAGTAATGTGATTAAGGGTTATAGTGGAGAGCACCTTTGTCAATCTCATTAGGTCAGTGATTCCGAGTGAAACCCATTTCAAGGTCTTTGTGATTGACACTGCAGCAATTCCCTCGTGTATTCTTGGAGCTTGTGATCGGGCTGTTTCCAAGGTTACCACTGCTGCTCATGGTTCTGAAATGCTGTCTGCTTTAATTCAGAACCCATTGAAAGATTTAGACAGCCTGTTCGATGCAGTAGCACTCTCGCTTTTGAGTCACAAGGTCATGGGTTTGACAGACCTGAGCACAAAATCTAGGCTGACACGCCAGTGGAGAACTGTGGAATTGCTGCATTGTCAGAGATGCTGCCTGTCTGATGAGGCATTAAACTGGAGCCCTGTTTGCCACATTGCGTGGATGTATTAAAACCCTTTGTGCTGTCTCAACGAAAAGCAGAGGCACTCTCTCAGCACTCTGGCTGTTATTTCTCTCCCTCTCCACCAACATCAGCACATAAAAGATAAAATACCTGGTCACTATCCCAGCGGTGTTTGTGCACTCTTGCCATCTGCAAATTGCTTGCTACATTTCTCACATTACAATGGTGACTCCATCCATTGGCTGTAAAATACTATGCCAACTGACTTAAACAGGGGGTAAAGTGGTTGTCTACCAGCAGCTTTGGGCTGGGATGCTACTGGGTGCTGTCCGCTACTTTGCAGGGTTGAGTTGGCTGGTGCTAGGTGTTTGTGTTTTAACCAGGACAATGTTGAGAGTTGACTTTTCACAAAAGATGGGCTGAGTGTGTCAGCAAGCAGGTGCTTTAAGAGTGGCAAACTGTATAGCATTGGGTGCTTGTGTTATTTTGTGTACAGATTGGTGTCAGGAATCTATTTCTCAATCTTGAAATGGCTGCGCAACATTCCATCTAGAGTATACACTAGAGTAGCATTTGGGGTTTACAGTTTTCAAAGTGTGCAGCTCAAATTCAACATCTGATAAAAGTTTAGTACTAAATTGGAAATCAGTGAAGTTAAGTACAATTTTTGATTTCTAATTTAGTAGTTTATTGAGGAGTCTTAGCGTCATACCAGTCCATGCCGAATATAATCCCAAACTAATTTTTAATTAATGCTACCTATTTTTGAATGCTTCCCAACAGTAGGGACTGACAATCACACAGTCAGAATTAAAGTGATTGACACCTCCTTAGTGTGCACAGCATTTTAGTGTGGGGAATTAAAGGAAACACAAAGATACACATTAAACGTCAGCCCCACCTGCCTGCTCCTGGCCCATATCCCTCCAAAACTTTCCTATTCATATGTCCATCCAAACGTCTATTAAAAGTTGTAATTGTGCCCATATCCACCACTTCCTCAAGAAGCTCATTACACATGCAAACCACCCTCTGTGTAAAAAAAATTGCCTCTTAATCTTTTTTTAGATCTTTCTCCTCTCACCTTAAAAATGTGCCCCCCCGGTATTGAAATGTCACATCTTAGGGAAAAGACAATACCATCAACTCTATCTGTACCTCTCATTATTTTATAAACTTCTGTCAGGTCACATCTCAACCTCCTGCACTCTAGTGAAAAAAGTCCCAACCTATCCAGCCTTTCCTTATAACTCAAACATACCTGGCAACATCCTGGTAAATTTGTTCTGCACCCTCTTCAGCTTGTTATTATCCTTCCTATAACTGAGCGACCAGAACTGCACACGGTATTCCAGAAGAGGCCTCACCAATGTCCTGTGCAACCTCAACGTAACATCCCAACTCCTACACTCAGAGGACTGAGCAATGAAGGCAAGCATGATAAATGCCTTTTTAACCATCCTGTCTATCCTGTCCCGTTATGCAAACTTTAAAGAATTATGTACCTGCACCCCTAGGTCCCTTTGTTCTACAACACTACCCAAGGTCCTACCACAAATTGTATCAGCCCTACCCTTTTTTTATTGTACCAAAATGCAATACCTCGAATTTATTGAGACTGAACTCCATCTGCCATTTTTCAGCCCATTGACCCATTTGATCAAGATCTCTTTGTAATCTTGGAAAACCTTCTTCACTGTCTACGGTGTCATCTGCAAACTTAGTAACCATGCCTTCAGTATTCTCATCCAAATTATTTATATAAATTACAAACGAAAGAAGAGCCAGAACTGATCCCTGTGGAACACCGCTGGTCACAGGCCTCCAGTCCAAAAAGCAACCCTCCACCACTACTCTTTATCGCCTGCTGTTAAGCCAATTATAGAACATAGAACATTACAGCGCAGTACAGGCCCTTCGGCCCTCAATGTTGCGCCGACCTGTGAAACCAATCTGAAGCCCATCTAACCTACACTATTCCATTATCATCCATATGTTTATCCAATGACCATTTAAATGCCCTTAAAGTTGGTGAGTCTACTACTGTTGCAGGTATCCGATTGGTAAGCTCACCTTGAATCTCATGTGACTTAACTTTACTAATTAGTCTACCATGCAGAACCTTGTCAAAGGCTTTACTAAAACCCAAATAAACAACGTCTACTGCTCTGCCATCATCAACGTTTTTGGTAACTTCCTCAAAAAACTCAATCAGGTTTGCAAGACACGATTTTCCTCACACAAAACCATGCTGACTATCCCTAATCAATTTTTGCCTCTCTAAATGTTCATAAATTCCAGACTCCCAGGTCTATAGTTTCCCGGTTTCTCCTTACAACCTTTTTTTAAATGAAAATACAATATTAGCCACCCTCAGTCCTCAGGCACCTCACCCGTAGTTATAGATGATGCAAATATTTCTGCGAGGGATCTTGTAATTTCCTACCTTACTTCCCACAATGTTCTGGAATACTTTAGATCAGGTCCTGGAGATTTATCCACCTTTATATTCTGTAATGTGTACTGTTTTTAAAACATCAAAGTTTATTTCTCTGCACTCTCTAGACTCCATTTCTTTCTCCACAGTAAAAACTGACGCGAAATATTCATTTAGTATCTCTCTCGTCTCCTGGGGTTCAACGCAAAGATGACCTCCTTGATCTTTAAGAGGCCCAATCCCCTCTCTACTTACCCTCTTGGCCTTAATGTATTTGTAGAATCTCTTTGGATTATCCGTAACCTTAACTGCCAATTATATCTCACATCCCCGCTTTGCCTTCCTCGTTTTTATTTTGTCTTTTTTATTCATAGAATCCCTGCAGTGTGGAAACAGGCCCTTCGGCCCAACAAGTCCACACTGACTCTTGGAGCATCCCACCCAGACCCATCCCCCTATAACCCACCTAATCTACACATCCTTGAACACCATGGGAAATTTAGCATGGCGAATCCACCTAGCCTGCACATCTTTGGACTGTGGGAGGGAACTGGAGCACCAGGGAACTGGAGCACCCGGAGGAAACCCACGCAGACACAGGGAAAATGCGCAAACTCCACACAGACAGTCACTCAAGGGTGGAATCGAACCTAGGTCCCTGGTGCTGTGAAGCAGCAGTGCTAACCACTGAGCCACCATGCCGCCCCTTAAGAATGCCCCTACACTCTTTTTATATTGATTAAGACATTCAATTGAACTAAGTTGTTTACATCTTAAAAAAAAATCTTTTATTCTTGAATAGAACCTCAATATCTTTATTCATCCACTGTTCCTTAATCTTAGCAGTCTTACCCTTCACTCTATCAGGAGCATAATGCCTTTGAACTCTCATCATCACGCTCTTGAATGTCTCCCACTTGTCAGACATCCTTTTACCTCCGAACGATCTACTCCAATCAACTTTTGAAAGTTCTTGTCTCATACCATTAAAATTTGCCTTACTCCAATTAAAAACTTTAATTTTGATGGAATCTTATCCTTTTTCATATTTTGAAACTAATAAAATTGAGATCGCTAGACCCAAAGTGTTCCCCTACTTTTATTTCAGTCACCTGTCCTGCCTTATTGTCCAAAAGAAGGTCTAGTTTTGCTCTGACTCTAATAGGAGCATCCACATATTGATAAAGAAAATTTTCTTGAGTACATTTGACAAATTCTTCACCATCGAAACCTTTAACACTATGGTAGTCAGTCCCAAGTCAATATTTGGAAAATTAAAATCCCTCATTATTACAACTATATTATGCATACATATATCTGAGATCTCCCTACATATTTGTTTCTCAATTTCCCTCTTACTATTGGGGAGGCCTATAGTACAAACCCATCAAAGTGATCTTTCCTTTCTTATTTGTAATTTCTACTCATATGTTTTCACTGGACAATTTTTCAGAAATATGTTCCCTAGTTACAGCAGTAATGTATTCCTTAATCAAAAACTCCTCCCCCCACCCTTCTTTTCTCCTTTTCTATCCTTCATATAGCATATAAAACTGTGAACATTGAGCTGCCGGTCTTGTCCATCTCTCAGCTGAGTTTTTGTAATAGCTATGATGTTCCATACCCATGTTCTTAAATATGCCTTGAGTTCATAGGCCTTACCTGTAAGACCCCTTGCATTGAAATAAATGCAGTTTAGTTCTTCAGAGTTACAACATACTCTGACTCTCTTTTGTCTTTCTTTTCTAACTGACGTGCACTCCTCACATTCAGAACCCACCCCATCAATTCTTCCATTTAAACTGCTACTGAGAATTACTCCACTCGCCTTCTCTTTCAGTATAAACTCTCCCTTAATAGAATAAGCAAATGTCCCTGCTAAGATATTGGTCCCTTTCCAGTTTAGGTTAGACCCATCCTTTCTGAACAGGTCTTTTCTATCCCAAAAGACATTGCAATTGTCCAAAAACCTGAATCTCTGAACTATACACCAGCTCTTCAACCATTGATTTATCTCCTTCAACCTTTCATTCCTTCCCTCATTTGAATTTGGTGTTGGGAGTAAATCAGAAATTATTACTTTTAAAGTTCTGTTTCTTTAATCTTCTACCTAACGTCTTAAATTCACCCTGTACTGGTTTAATCCTTTCCCTAAAAATGTCATTCCTACCAATGTGGACAATAATTTCTGCCTTCTCAATCTGTCCTTTAACAATATGCTTGAAACGTTTAGAAACTTTCTTAATCCTAGCACCAGGAAAGCAACAAACCATTCTAAATTTATGCTCACTACCACAGAATCACCTGTCTATGCCCCTGACAGGAGAGTCCCCTATAACAATAATTCTCTTAAACCTTGTCAAACGCTGCCTAACATAAGAATCATTCCAAGTGTCCAATAACTGAGTGGCCCTTCCACTTGCCTCGGAGAGACTATACCCTTCAACTGTTCCAAAATGTGAATACCTATTTGGTAGAGAAATAGCCACCAGAGACTTTTGAACTACCTTCTTACCTTTCCTGACAGTCACCCATCTATCTGACTGATCCTGCTGGGTAATAACTTTTCTAAATCTACTAGCCATCTCACTCTGTACCTTATATATGGTCTTAATAACATTAAGTCCAAAAAAAAGGGATGTTTCAACAACATCTTATGTATGAAACAACCTTTCATTACCTACAGAAAATAATGTTAAAAATGGAAAAAAATTAAAATGTCAAACATGTAAAAATTAAATAAAAACAACCACTTAGCTGATTAACGGAATAAAAATGATTCCACTTCAATAAATTCCTTGAAGAAAAGAATCTTCTCCAGAGCTGACCACATGGTGGACTCTCTGGAATGAAAACACAACTCCTTATTTTAAAAAAAACTGTTTGGTGTTTTCAAAAAGAAACCTTTGTAATGTAAAACAAAACCCTCTGAAACTCATATAGACTTTTAAAATTTCTGAATTAAGCATAAAAAAGAAACCTCAGCTGTTCACTGTAGACTCTTAAAAAAAAGTTTTTAAAGAAGTCTGTTTGAAAGAAACATCGTGATCTCTGAAGGAGGGTCCCAATCTGAAACTTTCCTACTCCTCTCATCCTCCCTGGCCTGCTGTGTTCCTCCAGCTCCACACTGTGATGTCTCTGACTCCAGCATCTGCAGTTCTTGCTACCTCCTCGTGATTTTTTTTGTTTGGTTTTTTAGAGTTTTTTTTGAATGTTACTAAATCAAAAAGGAAAGAAATACTTACAGTCGTTATAGTTTATTAGTATAATAACTGTAAAACTGTAAAGAAATCTATAATAAATCTTTAACTAAGCCTGCAATCCCAGGAGCAGCTGCAAGTTCCATGCTGCTTACTTTATAATGCATAATGCAATTGAAAGACCTCAAGAGATCTTATCTTTCCCCATTTCCATCCCTAATCTTCTGAAGCCGTTGACCCTTTATTGGATTCAGTTCGATAAATGAGCTTTGTTCTCCCCGACAGCTCTTCAAGTCCCGTTCTTCGTGTGTGTTGTTGGGCCATTCTACCAAGGACAGGGCGGAAAAAGGTGTTGGACTGCATACAACCTGATCCTGTCCTTACCCTCAATCTCTCACAAGGAAGGCATTTCTGTTGAACATTACTAAACAGAAACCTGTCAGAGACTTGGACCCAGCTGAAGCTTTCTGTCAGCCACCCTTGGTGAATTTATTTTGTTCAGCACATGTAGAAAGTCAAACCTGAGGCTGCTTTGGTGTGTCTAGCACTGCTATTCTGATTCAAAAGAAATGTGGTTCCCTTTCGTCTTTTCTGTTCTGCAAAAGGCACAGTGTGATGTATGCCTACATAAGAGAGGTTAACTTACTGTCAGCTGAGAGAATGTCTGATGCTTCAGGACTTCCTCAATAAATAGAACTGTATCTCTATAGTTCTTTTCAAAATCTTATGATGCTGTCAGGTTTTTATAGCCAAATATTTCTGAAGTGTAGTCACTGTTGTAAGAAATGTGGCAGCCAAATTGTGTGTAGCAATGAAATAACATGTGGATCATCACGTTTCAGATAATGTTGACTGAGCAATAACCATTAAGCCAAACACTGAGGAAAGGAACGCTTCTCACCATTCTTCAAAATAGTACCATGGGAGTTATATCTTCCCTTAATGCAGACATAGCCTTGCTTTAAAGTCTCTTTTGAAAGACAGAAGCTCTAATAGTGCAACAGTCTCTCAACTAGAACTGAATTAGATCGCAATGTTCAGACATTCCTTGACTTGTTGGACTTGATAGACAAAACTTACTGGCCAAGAGACAAGAGAGCTAACATTGAGCTGGCCAACAGCCACATAATCCTTAACAGTCTTCTCCCTGAACTGTGGATTAGGTAGAGACATTTATGCCCCAAATGAAACAAAGTTACCAGTAACTACTCTATTTGTTTCCTACAGTAGCAGGGACCAAGTGGAACATATTCCCCCTCCTCCAGTAGACTGGAGCCATGTAGCAGGTATCAAACCCTTCCTGGAGGCCTGTGTCAAAAGGTGCCTTAAGGAAGTCAACTGCCCGGCAACATGGAATAAAGTGAGACAGCTGACAGCAACATATATCATTTATCTGGGGACGTACTACAGCAAACTCATCCAACAGGTACCATAATTATTGACTTCATCCACATCTCTTGCCATGCTTCTTGTCATGTGGTACTTTGTTCCTTTTGACATTACACCTCGTCACATTTTCCTTTCCTTGACACCGTCACACTCATCACGTTACTTCTGTTAGTTTTTTTTTGTTTTGTGGGGTGTGTTAGTGATTATGTTCACGGACTAGTCCTCCTCTCAGGACTAGTATTCCAAATTCTATATCTGGCAATTGGAAAGCTTGAATTTGGTTTTGACAAAGTTGAAAGAGGTTCTTACATGTAAATGCAGAACTGTTGTAAAAACCCAACTGGTTCACTAATACCTTTTAGAGAAGGAAATCTGCCTTTCTCAATTGGGCTAGCCTATGTGTGATGCCTGTTCCAGCCCAACTTAGCAAGCCCATCAGCTGTATCACACTGCTAAGGCCCACCATCCTTTCCTGAGGACAGTTAAGATGGGCATTATGTGTTGCTGTTTCCCACATTCTGAGAACTATTTTTGAAAATTACCTCTGGAAAGAACTTGCATTTATGTCAAGTCTTTCATGACCAATTTACAACAAGCAGCAAATCAGTCGAATAGCTTGATTTATTTGTGGAGGCAGTAGTTGTGGGATAGATACTGGCCAGGGCTTTGGAGAAAATTGCCCTGATTTTGCCACGAGCATAGCCATGGGTTCTTCACATCCAATTGAGAGAACGAATAAGGCTTGGTTTAACGTCACAGCCGCAAGTTGGAAGCTTCAACAGTGCATCCCTGTTCGTTACTCCAGTGGAGAATCATCCTGGATTTGAAGTGGGTGTTAAGCCCTGACCCAGAGATGAGAGGCTGTGAATCTGATTTAAGCCTCCACAGCTGGTAAGCATGATAGTTGCTTGCCTATATTGGGTTTTAGATTTCCCCGCTTCTGTCTCTAACCTAATTGATCATGTTAGCAACCAACCTCACAATTCTACTGCTCCCAGATCACTTGCTGGAAGTCTACATTTTAATCAGCTAATTGAGCCATTGTCTGCATTGTCTTATTACTGCTGTTTTTCATGGTCTTCAGATTTTTATCTCTGTTCCTCAGCTTCTCCCCAATCCCTGTCACTACTTGGCTGACTACTTCTGTCAGTAGTTTTTATATATAAAGTATGTTGGCGACATGGTTGCTCAGTGGTTAGCACTGCTCCCTCACAGCAGCAGGGACCGGGTTCGATTCCACTCTCTGGGGATGGTCACTGTGGAGTTTGCACATTCTCTTTGTGTCAGCGTAGTTTCCTCTGGGTGCTCCAGTTTCCTCCCACAGTCCAAAGTTGAGCAGATTAACTGGATTGACCGTGCTAAACTGCCCCTAATGTCCAGAGATGTGCAGGCTAGGTGTGTTAGCCATGGGAAATGCAGGGCTACAGGAATAATGTAGGGGTATGGGTCTGGGTGATCCTCTGGGTTAGTGTGCTCTCGATGGGCCAAACGTCCTGCATCCACAGTGTAGGGATTCTATGATCTTCAGAGATACAGTGATCAGAGTAGCACAAATCCAGCTGTCTCCAGCTAAATGTACATTAACACGTCCTGGCTGCCTCCTTGTCTGACATGGAATGATATGCTCTGACTTCTATCTAATTTGAGTTGTACGCACGATAATGACTTCTTATATACATCAGGCACAGACAAGTGGGATGCTCTAATTTTCTCCTTGTCTGAGTTGTGGACAAGATGATGGCTTCTCACCATATTCTAATGCTGTTCTGTCTTGAATTTTCCACAGCCATCCTATAGACCGGTTGACTGTTTAGAAGAACTGGAACAGTTTTGCTCAGCGACCTTGTTCCCATTCCTTAGTCTGCCAGTATTAGAGAGCATGTTTGAGGATCTCAGGTAAGCCCCTGTTTCTTTTGGAACTCTGAAATCCCCACCATTTGTGCTGTTGGATGATCATTGTTAAAGTCTAATTTGGCTGAAGCCAGAGTGGAAGATGGATCAGAGATTCAAGTTTTCAGGGAGGGTCAGTGTTGAACACATGCTGTGGGTGAGGTGAAAGTATTTCATGATTCACAAATGACTCTGTGATAGTGCAACCATCTAAGCCCAAGTTAGCATGTCATTGTGTCTGAGAATGCAGCATCTCCATGTATATTTGAAACTAATAAATCTTCCCATCCATCATTGAGTTCTATTAGCTCAGTTGTGTAGTCACTATTTGGTACAGGCCTTGAATGACATTCATGGACAGTTATGTGCCAAATATAGCAAGAGGATGAAGTAATTTCCTTGCAGTATTGTTCTAGGATTCCCAGCAGAGTATATTCTACCTTTAGAATGCTCATTCCAGGCCAGATCCTGGCTCCCAGTCAAAGGGTTGCTGAAGAACTTTACATTTGTGAGGAACAGGTACGTTTTTGTTCCTAGTTGTTGACTTCATATGCAGCATTTTAACTGAAATTCCTCAGTTATTAGCTTCCTTCCTGCTTCATCTACCCACAACAAACATGATATTGCTCAACAAGTCCAGACCTGATGCATCTCTGGACATGAATATGCAAATTAGAAGCAGAGCTTCCTCCAGCTCTGAGCTTCCTCCATCATTCAGTGCAATGACAGCTGATCTGATTATAACCTAAATGCTACCCTGATAACCTTTCACTTTCTTGGTCATCAAGAATCTGTCCTGTGTTACAAGCATTCAAAGACTCTGCTTTCACTGTCTTGTAAGGAAGAACCTTCCAAAGACTTGCGATACTCTGATAGAAAATATTTTACCTCCCCTCTGTTTTAAATAGGTGACACTTCATTTTTAAACCCGACTGTTATTTTTAGATTCTTTTCAGAGGAAAATTCCTTTCCACACCCTGTCAAGGATCCTCAGAGTCTTGTATGTTTTATCAAAATATAAGAACCTAGAAAATAGGAGAAAATGGAGACCATTCAGCCCATCAAGCCTATTCACCGTTCAGCATGTCCATGGTTCGTCCTCTATCTCAATGTCATACTCCCACTCTCTCCCCATAACCCTTGACACTATTAGCTTCTAAAAATCTATTTGTTTTGTTCTTAGAATATTCACTGACCTGGCCTTCAGACCGTAGTGTGGTAGAGAATTCCACAAGTTCACCAACCTCTGAGTAAATAAAGTAATGTAAACCCAAAATGTCCTATCCTGTTCCCTGATATCGTGAGCCCTTGATCTGGATATCCTGTCTAGGGGAAACATCATCCCTGCATCCAGTCTGCCAAGGCCTGTCAGAATTATATATGTTTCAGTGAGATCCCCTCTAACAGTCTTTTTAAACTCCAGTGAAAGAGGCCCATTTGACTCTAACTGACTTCATACAACAAACTTGCCATCCTTAAATAAAGAAACTCATATAGTACACAGTACTGTAGATGTGATCTTACTAATAAAACTGAAGCATTTGCATTCATTCCCTTCACAGCAAACAGTTGTGTGCTATTCACTTGCTCTATCTGAATAATAGCCTTTTCTGATTCATATACTAGAACTTTCAGATCTGTCTGTATCTCAGAGCTCTGCAAACTCTCACCATGTAGACAATATGTTTTCTTCTGGTTCTTCCTGTTAAATTGGACAATTTCATTTTTCCCTATAGTATATTCCATTGGCCAGATCTTTGCTCGCTTATCTATCTTCCTTTGTAACCTGCTTATGTCCTTTTTGCAACCTACCTGTCTATCTATCTTTAGTCAGCAAATTTGTCAGTCATGCTTTCAGTCTCTTCATGCAAATAAATTGTAAAAAGTTGAAGCCCCAGTATTATTGTGTGGAACACCACTTGTCACACCCTGCCAATCAGAAAAGACCCATTTATGCCTACTCCTTTTCCTATTTGCTAGCCAATTCTCTAACCACACTAACATGTTACCCCTTGTGCCATAGCTCTTTAGTAATACCCTTCCATGAGACATCTTATTAGGTACCTTCTGGAAATTCAAAATAGTGTGTCTTCCACTTCTCCTCTATCCAAGCGCTTGCTTACTTCCTCAAAGAACTCCAACTGGATAAGCATTGTTTCCCCTCACAAAACCATATTGACTCCATCTGGTTATTTTCAACTTCTCAAAATGCCCTGCTGTAACTTGTTTCACGATAGCTTCCAGTATCTTCCAAGTGACAGATTTTAAGCTAACTAGCCTGGTTCTTGCTTTCTATCTCTCTCACTTTCTCAACAAAGCAGTCTCATTCACTAACTTCCAATCTAATGGTAACCTTCCCGGAGTCTTGGGAGTTTTAGAAAATTAAAACTAATGCCAATTAGTTTTCCACCAAATTGTAGCTCTTTTAATATCCTATGATGATATCCATCAGGAAATGGGAACTTTTCAGCTTGCAGCCCGACCAGTTTGCTCAGGACCACTCCCCTGGTGACTTGTAATTTTCTCAAGTTCTTCTCGTCCTCCATTTCCTGATTTCCAGCTACTTCTGGGATGTCAGTTGTATTCTTTACAATGAAGACTGATATAAAATTCATCTGTCATTGCCTAATTTTCCATTATTAATTCCCTGGCTCACTTCCTATAGGATCATTACTTCCTTCTTTCTTAGCTTATTTTAACATATTTATAGGTATTCTTATTATATATTATTTATATTTCTAGCTCTCATTTTAAATTTTCTTTCCTCGTTAATCATTTAGTCATTCTTTGCTTTCCTTTATATTCCATCCAATCTTCTGACCTGCCACCAGTCTTTGCACAATTATATGCTTTTTCTTTAAGTTTTACACTATGTTTAACTCATTTTATTTAACCACAGATGCTGGGTCTACTCCTTGGAACTTTTCTTTCTCATTGGACTGTATCTATTCTGTATATTCTGAAATATCATCTTAGACGTCTGCCATTGCTGACCCACCCTTAACCTAAATTGTCAGTTCACTTTAGCTAGCTCTGCTTTCATGACCTCATAATTGCTCTTATTTAAGTTTAAAATAGTAGTTTTGGACACACTCTTCCGTCCTCCAAACTCTGTGTAAAATTAATTAATATTATAATTGTTGCTATCTTCAATATTGATGCACAGTACCAGCTCTAGTATTGCCTATTCTCCAGAATGTGCTGTGTTCACAAACTATCTCAAAAAATACAAAGAACTTGTCAGCTGGGATCCTTTTGTCCATCTGCTATTTCCAGTCTGTATGAAGATTAAAATCCCTCCATGATTTTCACTTTACTTTTCTGATAAGCTCCCATTTTTTCTTCCTTTGTACTCTACCCCACTATGTGGACTGTCAGGGGCCTGTACACTACCCCCACAAGTGACTTCCTAACTTTATAACTTCTCAGCTCTACCCAAACTGTTACTACCACCTGGTTTCCTGAATGTCATCTTTCTCTATTGTGCCAATGCGATCACGAATTGACAGAGACATGTTTCTACCTTTTCCTAATTTTCTATCATTCCTGAATATCATCTACCCTTCAATATTCAGGTCCCAGTTTCTGTTATCTTGCAGCCATGCCCCTATATTGGCTTTCAGGTCATGCTTATTTACTAGTTGCACTTTTAAGTTCATCTGTTTTGATTTGAATGCTGCGTGCATTCGGATTTAGTTTTGTCCTCTTAGTGGCTTTTTAACCTCTAGCCTTATCTGTTGATTTACTCTTAGATTTGTGCTCTATATCCTTTCCTGTCATGGTCTGTTTATCATTTCCCATAATAATTCATTTTTCTTTCATCTTATCTCTGCTTTTTTAGTTACCAAAACTTCCCAAATCTAAACCCTTGCCCCTACTATTTAGTTTAAAATCCACTCCCTTTTTATGTATGCTGACTGGAACACATGATTCAGGTGGAAACTGTCCCCACTTTCCACAGGACTGGTGCCAGTGCCCCCCTATCAGAACCCACTTCTCCCACACCAGCCCTGAGCCATCCATTTATTTCTCTAATTTTATTTGTCAGTGTCAATTTGCACGTGGCTCAGGTAATAATCCAGAATTTGTGGCCTTTGGTGATTTTGCTTTTTAATTTGGTGCCTAGCTCCCCATACTGTCTGTGTGTAGAATCTCTACCCTTGCCCTGCTATATCATTAGTTCCTCCATAGACCACAATGAGTGGATCCTCTCCCCTTTCACTGTACGTTCTGTCTAGTTGTGGGCAGATGTCCTGAAGCCAGACAGATGATGCAGCCCCTGGACTCATGTTCTTTGCTGCAGGCAGTTCAAAGTTCATTTGTGAGTAGATGATGCAGCCAGAATGTGTGCTCGGGACACGAATGAAAGTTGGGGGCAACTATATTTGGATGATATCTCACCGGATCTTGTAGCCCCTTTGCCCACAATCTACAGCTGGCACAGTATTGATTTGTGACTAATTGCTGTTGCCTCTCCTCAGGTCACACTCTGCCCTGTGTAGCCCGAGGTCCTGCCACCCAGGGCCTGAGACTGTCCACAGTCTGGTCTCATTGGGATTCGCTGGGAGAGAGTCTCCCCTCAGCCTCCTGGGATCCAAATCTCCCTTTGCATTCCTGACTGCAATGCTTTATCTGTTGAACACCATCAGCAGTGTGCACAAGGGCTTGACAGAAAAGGTAAGGCATTTTTACACCTGTATTCTCTGAGAGTGAATAACAGCGAAGAGATGAGTTTCTTTCCATTCCTCCTAGAACACAGTCACGGGTGGAATTTTTGAGAGTTTAGATATATAAAACATTCCAAACGGCTTCTCTTTGCCTAACCTTGATCTTCTTTTAAAATTGGTCTATTTGTTCCCCACAACCTCATGGTTGGATATTGTGTCCTTGCTTCTAGGCAATTCAAGTTTCGACACTTGTTTAGTTCATTGATCCCAGTCAAGGCAGTGGTGAAGATTTTCACATCGTTTGGCTTGAGAGGGGAATAGGACCCTTCTGATGCTATCCAGGAATACCAACTGCAAGTTTGTCAACAATCAGCCTTGTGCTCGCTGGCCTACATTGGTTCCTGGTTCTACAGTGTCTTGATTTTAACATGTTCAGGGTTGGAGAGTGACACAGCACAGCGTGAGGTCATTTTGGCCCAGTGTGCTTGTGCTAGTTCTTTGAAAAGTCTAATTCAATTATGTCACTCTTTTGCCTCTTTCCTATCGACCTGTAAATGTCTCCTCTTGTTTGTCGTGTTCAAATCTCTCCATAGTGGCACCCTCTTGATCTCCTTCATATGTTCCAGCCTGCAACCCTTCGTGATCTCTGTGCCTCTTCGGTTTTCACTGTGCTGTCCTGGATTGCACGCCTATAACTGGCAAAGCCTAAAGCGGTGTAGTTCATAAATCTCTTTGACTCTTTCCCATTCTCTTCTTTCTTAAGAGGCTCCTTAATGTTTAACTCCTTCCCCAACAATTTGGTCAGCTGTCCTATTATCATCAGATGTCACTCGGTGTCAATGTCTTCAAATAATGTTCTGATGGAATGTTTTGGAATATTTTAACTGTGTTAAAGATGCTAGGTAAATCTAAGTTGTTGTTGTACAAGCCCCACTGTAACCCTTGTCCAGAGGATGTAGTTATCAAGGTTACAGACCTGATTTATTTATTTCTACTCTTGTCCAGGCCCATCAAGATTTTGAACACCTCTATCAAATCTCCTCTAAACATTTTGCTTCTGTAAGGAGAACAACCCCAGCTTCTCCAATCTAGCCACAAAACTAAGCATCTCATCCCTGGAACTGTTCTCTGAAGTCTTGCCTGTGCCCTCTCTAAAGTCTTCACACATCCTTCTGACAGTGTGGACACAACGCTGTATTTGAGAATGTAGCTCCATTGTTAGACTGGGTTAGAACGACATTACAGTAGGCCTGCTTGATTGGCATTACATCCACAAACTTCCGCTCCCACCACCGCTGACGCTCAGTAGCCGCAGCATGTACTATTTACAAGGTGCACGGTAGAAATTCACCCAAGATCCTCCTTCAGCACCTTCCAAACCCATAGTCACTTGCATCTAGAAGGACAAGGGCAGCAAATACATGGGAGCACCACCACCTGCAAGTTCCACTCCAAGCCACAAACATCCTGACTTGGAGATATATCGCCGTTCCTTCACAGTCACTGGATCAAAATCCTGTAATTCTCTCCGTAACGGCATTGTGGCTCAACCTACAGCAGGTGGACTGCAGAGATTCAAGAAGGCAGCGCACCACCACCTTCCCATGGGGCAACTAGGGACGGGCAATAAACGCTGGCCAGCCAGTGATGCCCATGTCCCACAAATGAATGATAAAATGCTGTTGACATTTAATGGCTTTAAATAATTTTCTGACGCCCATCGTCACAATAAGTATTAGAGTTGTATTGCAGCCTGTGTCATTGTAAAAAGAGAGGAGGGAATGGTGTGTTCATAAGCAACTTTTCTTTATACTATTTGTGACCAAATCGCTAAGTACGAGTCTGAGGGATGGGAAAAAGCTGCTTCGTCTTTCTGAAGGAACCTGGCTGCTGGTGGTAGTGAATGGAAACTGCTTGAGGGAATGATTTTAGTGGGCAGTGCTACCTAGGGAAGATAGCACATGTTCCGCATTGAGCAATCTCCAACTGTAGCTGGACCCACCAGTTGTAGACATGTTGTACTTTTGAAGTCAGTCACCGAGAAAGTCGCCATGACAGTAAGTCCTCGTTTTAAAGTTGGAACTTTAATTGAAATGATTTCAAGTGAATCACTTTTTCGGTGAATTCTACCCAATAGAACCGATGTAAAAGCCGTGGTTAGATTCTGCAGGACCTCCCTCATCAGAAAAAAATACATTCCACCTTGTAAATTCAAGCTCTTTACATTGCAGGAGCATTTGTAAGTGAAATCATTTCTAAAATAAAATGAATCTCAAAATATATGAGAAATTCAGTATGGTAACTTTCCTTTTAACCTTGCTTGCCAGTAATCCTGCTCTCGAACATCCTGCTCACCACTTGTCCTAGTCACTGTGGACCTTGCCTCACACTGACCGTCTGGTTCACAGCTTCTCCTGCTCCGTCACCCACCCTCTAGCTGCCTTGCTTCTGACTCTCAGTCGAAGATACTCCTGCCTCTTACTGCTCAGTTCTAAAACCGTTGGGGTAATTGACAAGTGGGAGACTTGATGAGAGCGTAGATCCGTGAGACGCTGAGACAGGGAGAGGAGGAGGAAGAGGACAGAAGGGCAACAAGAGAGTTAGAGAATGGGTAAGTGGTATGTTGAACAGTTTGTAGTGAGTGAAAGGCTCATGGAGCAGCAGAGCCTGCTCAAAATGGTGCCACAGGTTACACGGCCCTGTGTCAGACCAGATGCAAATAGCTTTAAAACAAAACTTGGATGCCAAGAAAGAATACAGGCCCCGTTAACGAACCCTGAAAGTGAAACAACATCATACAGGGACTTATAGTCACAAGCCATTTTTCTCATATTTCATATGGTTGAACTCGGTGATGTGCAATTGATTAACTTTCAGGAATAACTCTATATATAAATTTACAGTGCTTCAGCAGTAAGCATTAATTGTTAATGAATGCCACTGATTGCACTTAGATTAACACAAGTGGCAATGCTTAATAGATCTCCGTCATGTCTAATCACATGATGAATAGATAAATTGGTTTGTAGTTCTGACTGTCTTCTCCTCCCCTGAATATATTTATAATTATTTGTGTTGTCCTCGATAGTCAGGCAGATTCTGGATAAATGCAGTAGGACATACTCTGCAAATTGTGCCCTCATCTGGTCAGGACATTCTCTGTTTAGACCCCATCCCTAGTACTTTGTTGTGTTCTGGGCCCCGCACCTCGTGATGAAAATATTGGCTTTGGGAAGGGGTGCAGCACAGATTCACTTGGGCTAAAAGTCCCAAGCCCAGGTCGAATAGATAAGGCTCGCATTGCGTTGGACCATATAAGACTAAAGGGGTTGTCTAATTGAGGTGTTTAATATGATTAAATGGGTAGAAATAAGAGGAGGAAAATGAGGAATAATAGGGAGCAATGTCAGAATTAGAGCTGGGTCGTTCAGGGTGAATGTCAGGAAGCAGTTCCTCTCACACAGGAGATCTCGAACTCATTCCTGGGAGACTTGTTCAGAAGGGTCGTGACCTGAGCAGGCTCGAAGAGCTAATGTCTGTCTGCTGTGATCTCGTGAGCTGGCTACTTGCCTCCCTCCTTACCACTGATGTGTTTTCTCACGCGGTTTGTTTGCAGTGCTCATCTGTTCTGCACAGCAAAGGTCTGCGAGATTACCTGGTCCACAGCTGCAGAGGAAGCCCACCGATCCACCACCGGTCTGCCTGGTTGCTGCGTCACGAGTTTCACTTCCAACACTTTGTACTTCAATTGGCATCCAAGGCAGTAAGTCGCTCCCCTCATCACTTCAGACTCTTAGGCTTGTTCAACCCACTTACGTCACTATCCTTCAACCGGAGGCTGTGGATTCAAGCCACTCCATGCCCCACCCCTCCTCACCCCACCTCCCTACTCTCCACCCCTCCCTCTGGAGATCTGAACCCATCGCCCAGGCTGATACTGTAGTGCAATACAGATGCTATACCAAAGGGGTACCCCCTTCAGCAGATGTAAAAGATCCCACGGGATTATTTTGAATTAAAAAAAAGCAGAGGAGCTCTCATGGAGTCCAGCCCAATATTTTATCCCTCAAATTCTCCCAAAGAAAACTAATCATTAATATGAGTGCTGTTTTGGCGTCTAGCTGAATGCACATTGGCTGCCATTTTTAATCAACGTAACAGCAATTACTGTGCCGTGTTTTGACACAACTTGAAAGGCATGATGTATGTTAACGTTTTTCATCTGAACAAGAAAGGTTTAGAGGGATATGGGCCAAATGCAGGCAAATGGAACTAGTTTAGTTTGAGAAACTTGGTTGGCAAGGACGAGTTGAACCAAAGGGTCTGTTTCTGTGCTGTCTGATATCATGACTAGAGCTAGTATATTTTAATGCTGTGGCCAATCCATTGCTTCGAGTTACTTGTGACAGACCTGTAACTATTTGGTCTTAACGGCTCGAAATTCTGCCTCCAGATGCAATCTTGGTGATTAAACTGCCAGATTCGTTGCATGTTTAATGGACATAGTGTGAAGTTGTCACGCTCATGTCAATGATCATAATGCACATGGGGTTACCCGCGAACACTCCTTTCCAACAGTGTGAAAAGATTGCGTGTTGGCCAAATCCTTCAAGAATGAGGTCCAAAGGTACGTTCTTCCGAGCTACCTGAACCTTCCCTTACTTCTCAACGCTGCCCAATGTTACTCCTCAACTCCCTTTTACAAACAGACTTGAACCCTTCATCACTCCAGATCCTGGCGTATAAGCCTTAAATCAGCTGTGTACCCTCCTCCTCCGTGTCCCAATTTCAAAACTCCAGCCTTCCCCTTTTCCAATTGTTGTGTTGCATTTTTCAAGACACTGTAAGCCTCTTTTGCACCTTACAGATCACCATCAGTCCTCAAGTTACTGGGCAAACTCCACTCTATCACTATGTTGCTGTCACGTTGCTAAGTCAGCTGCTCCCTGGAAGTGAGCATTTGGCCCATGAACTGCTCTCGAAGTTGATCTTTAATCAAGATATGATTCCGTAAGTATCTTGATGGGAAAATGTGCATGTTGTTTTTAGTAGGTGAATTAGAAGTACTTTTCTCTTGTGTCACTGGTTTTAAGCCTGAGTTGTCTGATGAAAGCTTTCCTTCCCTGGTCACAAGCTGAAATATGTTTTGGGGTATGGAGTCCACTCTACAGACCCAGCCATAATGTAAAGGAAGGAATTGTTGAATTCCTGTGGCACCTTCCATGACTACAAGTTGTCCCAAGCCACCTTGTAGCCAAATATTTTGAAACGTAGCCATGTGCGGTGTAGAAAATACGGCAGCCAGTTTGTACACAGCAAGCTCCCACAAACATCAATGAGATAACGACCAGTTCATAGATCATAGAATCCCTACAGTGTGGAAACAGGCCCTTCGGCCCAATAAGTCCACACTGACCCTCAGAGCATCCCACTCAGACCCATCTCCCTAATCTACACATCCCTGAACAATGGGCAATTTAGCGTGGCCAATCCACCTAGCCTGCACATCTTTGGACTGTGGGAGGAAACTCACACAGACACGGGGAGAATGTGCAAACTCCACACGGACAGTCGCCCGAGGCTGGAATCGAACCCGGGTCCCTGGTGCTGTGAGGCAGCAGTGCTGACCACTGAGCCACTGTGCCGACCAGTTAATATACTTGTACTGATATCAGTTAGGCACACTGAGGTAAGTGCTGCAACTGTTTTCCAAATAATGCCATGTGATCTTTTATGTCAAAATGAAAGGTCAGGTTCGTCTCCGTTTAAAAGGCTGATGTGAAAGGTGTCACCACAGACTCACCTCTCAGTCCTGCTCTGCAGGAACACTACAGGCTCATGTGCTCGCCTTCAGAGTGGGACATGAAACCACAACTTCGGGCAATGGTGTGCCTAACTGAGCCACGACCACGCCCACTTTTTTATATCACTAAATGGGAAATGTCACTGAGTAACCACAGGAGCAGCTAATGTAAGCTGGAAAAACACCAGACGTATTGTGTCGTGGGAATCAACTGAGGTGGATCAAGTGCAATACATCAAGTTCTACTTTGCATTTGGATCATTGTGTCAGTGTTTGATGAGGTCCTGCACGGGGCAGCTGACTAGTGGTCTAACCTGAAACATGCCTGACCCTCAGTGTGCTGGAAAGGGTAGGCATTAGAAGCTTTACTCTGTGGCTATTTGACCAGTGTACCTGACAGAGACGAAGACAACGTGTTTAGTTCCCCAATGTAAGCATTCCTTGTCTCAATTATCACCATCTTTGTGTTGCAAGCTTGTTATATATTGACATATTGTTTATCCTGTGGGGTTGGTGACGATACTGGGTACCTGGCTTTATAGTCCCCACCTTGATGAACACAAAACGGTGTATGCAGTGTTTATGGTGGGCCTCGTGTGTTGTGGGTATGGTATGGGACGTATATGCAGTGTTTACAATGTGGGGCATGTATGAAGTGTGTATGGTATGTGGAGGGGGTGCGTGTGCAACTTTTACAGTCTGGGACATGCAGTGTTAACATTGTGGCTTGGGGAAGCTGTACTTACTATTTGGTATGAATACTGTATTGACAGGGAAGGTAAATCTGGTGGTCCTGAAGCGGAAGATCTCTCCTGCATTCTCCAGCTTCGAGCAGATGGGGGCACTGCGGAACAAGTTCACTCTAACCCGACTCGTGGAACACTGCTGGGAGCAGCCTTCAAACAGCTCCCTACCATCCGAGCCCACTACCTGGCTCACTTCACTCACGTCCAGCCTGCCGTCTCGCGGTCCAAGACTTTCTACACTGGGCAGAATCATTTGGTTCAATCTGTCCTGCTCCCCGACATGACAGGCGCTCTTCTGCCAGCTGATTGGGCCTTCCTGCCCCTGATCAATCTTTATGACCAGGTCAACCGAGTGGAAATGAAGGGCAAGACGGTAGAGTCGCTTGCTGCCAACTTAGTGGAAATGGTGACCAGCTGCCTCCAGTGGGCACTGTTGCTGGAGACCTGGCGAGGTGAACTCTTGCAGGGCCTGCCTCTGGCTGCCAAGCTGGCGAGACTCATGTGCGTGTTCCTCACGGGCAGTAACCTATTTCTGGAGCCAGGCATTCACGACAACCTGACAGCCCTCCTGTTGATCTACTGTCAGCGCAAGAAAATGGACTCCCTGGACCTGAGTGCACCACTGCCAGGACTGACCTCCTTTCAGGATCTGTATGTTCGACTCCTCGAACAGTTTGAGAGCGTCTCATTTGGCGACCAGCTCTTTGGCTGCTTTCTCCTGCTGCCCCTGCAGAGGAGGTTCAGTACCCAACTTCGCCAGGCTGTTTTTGTGGAGCATGTTAGTGTATTACGGACACTGGGAGTGCAGCTGAAGCAGGTATGTGAACCGTTTCAAACATTGAATGGGTGGCAGTTCCCAACATTTTGTTGTTGAGTGGAGTGGTTTTTGGTTGCCAAGTGGGCCAGCACTGGGTCCCTCAACAGGGCAGAATAGGCTTGATTAACAATGGTTGTATCGCCTAATCAGCAATGGTTTATCTATGTGTAAGAGATTGGTTTGGGAGCCCTTCGTGTTGTGGGTAAGGAGTGGGAAGAGATGGGTGCTGGAGCCTTCCTCATTGAATCTGTAATTAACCTTAATGGCTCCTTTAAGATTGGGGTCAAACCATTCAATTGGAATAATTTAGATCTAGATTTTATTGTCATGTGTACTCCAGTACAGAAGCGCATGAGTACAGTGAAAGGTGTATAATGTCGCCACACACAGTGCCATCTTAGGCACCAAAGTTCCTAGGTACAAAAACTTCGGTACAAAATCGTAAAAGAAACAAAGTTAAAAAAGTTAACCGTTACCTTCCTGGAATAAATAGAAAATTAAAGAAGTACGGTAATGATGTGCCAAGGGGGTATTACCTGACATATATATTGTTTATCCTGGGGGGTTGGTGATGATACTGGGTACCTGGCTTGATAGTCCGCACCTTGATGAACACAAAACTTACAAAGGGAAAGTTCAGCTGCTGCTCTGCACCAAAATTCTTGAACTCCTCAACTAATGGTAAGATGGGCTAATGGTAAGATTCTTGGTAGTGTGGATGAGCAGAGAGATCTCGGTGTCCATGTGCATAGATCACTGAAAGTTGCCACCCAGGTTGATAGGGTTGTTAAGAAGGCGTACGGTGTGTTAGGTTTTATTGGTAGAGGGATTTAGTTTCGGAGCCAAGAGGTCATGTCGCAGCTGTACAAAACTCTGGTGCGGCCGCACTTAGTGTATTGCGTACAGTTCTGGTCGTCGCAATATAGGAAGGATGTGGAAGCATTGGAAAGGGTGCAGAGGAGATTTACCAAGATGTTGCCTGGTATGGAGGGAAGGTCTTATGAGGAAAGGCTGAGGGACTTGAGGCTGTTTTTGTTAGAGAGAAGAAGGTTAAGAGGTGACTTAATAGAGACATACAAGATGATCAGAGGATTAGATAGAGTGGACAGTGAGAGCCTTTTTCCTCGGATGGTGATGGCTAGCACGAGGGGACATAGCTTTAAATTGAGGGGTGATAGATATAGGACAGATTGTCAGAGGTAGGTTCTTTACTCAGAGTAGTAAGGGCGTGGAATGCCCTGCCTGCAAAAGTAGTAGACTCGCCAACTTTAAGGGCATTTAAATGGTCATTGGATAAACATTTTGATGATAATGGAATAGTGTAGGTTAGATGGACTTCAGATTGGTTTCACAGGTCGGTGCAACATCGAGGGACGAAGGGTGTGTACTGCCCTGTAATGTTCTATGTTCTATGTAATGGCACTGTGGGTGTACCTCCACCACATGGGCTGCAATGGTTCAAGACTTCAGCTCACTGCCCCCTCCTGGTCAGTTGGGGAGAGGCAGTAATGAATGAATAAACATGCATCTCCTTTGCTGCATCATTCTGTAGAAAACAAGGGAAAAGCTTGCATTTGTAGAACATTTTGATTATCATAAATCACTCCAGTTAGTTCCGCAGGAGTGCGAGTAGACAAAAATTGACAAAGGGCCACAACTAGGAGATGTTAGAAAAATTGATCAAAAGCTTGGCTAAAGAGGAAAGTTTTAAGAAGCATCTTAAAGGAACAACAAACCGTGAAGATTGAGAGCTTGAAGTAGGGATTTCCAGAGTTCAGAGCCTAGAGAGCTGAAGGGTAGATGTTAGTTGTGGAATAATTGAAATCTGGATTCTTGGGGAAGGGTTATGGGGCTGGTTGATGTCATAGACCTGGAGCACCAGGCCACTGTGAGATTTGAACATTAGGGTGGGGCTAGTTAAGTTAAGGTCCTGCTGGGGTTGGGTAATGGGGTGGTTTGTGAAGCTGATGAGGTAATTTCCACACTAGGCAATCTGCTGATAGCTTTCAATCTGCGCAACCTTTTGTGTATCAAAATAGCTGCCAATCCCGTTGGAAAATTACACCCACCCTGCCGAAACCTGCCTGGATTTGCTGCGGCAGTACTTCAAGACCTTGGTGACGGGGACCCTCCGCCTCAGCTGGTGCCCCGTGCTCTATGTGGTGGCAGTGGCTCACGTCAACAACTTCATCTTCTCTCAGGAGGTTGTGGATGAGGTAAGACATCGTCTGGCTACAAATTTTCTGTGATCAGGGGAATTTTCACAGAAGCGGTATAGAGAGGAAACGTACCTGATGACACAGTTCTAAAAAGTGAGCAGGAACAGGGGAAACCTGCAGGGGTTGGGGGTGGGGGTGTGGGCTTATGTGCACAGATCTTTGAAAGTGGTAGGACATTTTAGAGCAGTTGTTAAAGCACATGGAATCTTGGACATCATAACAGAGGTATTGCGTACAAAAGCAGGGAGGTTATGTAGAACCTGTATAAAGTTTTATTTAGACCCTATTAGAGTATTGCATTTAGTTCTGGTCACCACACTTCAGGAAGAATGTGAAGTCCTTGGGACAGCGCAGAGGAGACTTAACCAGAATTGTTCCAGAGATGGGTTACTTTAGCTCCAAGGTTTGGTTGGAAAAGTTGGGTTGCTCGTGTTAAACCAGAGGAGATTTGATAGAGGTTTAGAAGATTATAATGTTTAAAAACAGTAGACGAAGGAAAGCTTGTCCCCATTGGGGTACAAGAGCTAGCAGGATCAGTTTGAAGGTGTTTGGGCAACAGATACAGGCAGTATGTGAGCAAGATGTTTTGACACAGTGAGCAGTGATGACCTGGAAATTGCTGCCAGCAAGAGTGGTAGAAGTGGAGGTGATCAATGATTTAAAAAGGAAATTCGTTGGGCATTTGAGGGAAATGAATTTGTCAGTGGTGTGGATAGACTGGTGGGGAATGAGACTGAATCGTTTGCTCTGGAGAGCCAGCATTGCCTTCATGAGCTGAATGGCCTCCTCCTCATGGTAACTCTACGACTGGGAGGAAATTGAAAATTCCAAGACTAATCTTGGATATAGTTCTGTTTACCTCCTGCTGCTGAAACACTTCACATTATCTCCAGTTTTGGCCTTTCTTGCTCACATTGTTGACTTCCTATTCTTCCTAAGCTTCAGCTCATTGTAAATTCTGCTGCCCATCTCTTAACTGGCACTAAATTCACTAACCTATCTTGTCTGTCCTCACTGAGGTACACTGATGCCCTGTTGTCAAGCACCCCCATCCTCCTGGTCAACAAGGGGCTGATAGATTTGTGGTATAGATAGATCGGTGTGATCCCAGTGAATCTCAGAACATGCCCAAAGAGCTGTGTGGACTCCATCTGTTTCTAAGAAGGTTTCCATGGGATATCCCAGTTTCAAAAAAACTGCCCATGGATATGGCAATAAAGCATTCGGAGCAGGGAGGTCGCAGGTTTGATGCAGTTCGTACACCATTATGTAGCCCTAAACTGCATGGTAGTTGGTGGCATAGAGCTGGCACAAGCATTATTGGTGACAGAGGAGAGACATAATCAGCCCTGTCCTCATTGCTAACCAATCACAGGTTTGTGAACACTGGGGCTGAGAAGGAGATTGTGCTCAGCAGTGATACCCCATAGCCAAATAACCTGCCTGCCAGTAAAGAATGATTAGTTGGGTGAGATACTGGACGGCTGTTGTATCTGTGGATTCAACAACTTCAGGTGAAGGGATAGAAGGCAAATTCTGTAAGGGAATTTGGCACTCGGCAGAGGTTGCTGCCTCCTGCTCCTAAGTCCTATGTCCATTCTTCACACTTGAACACACCACTTAGTTGTGAACCACACTTCTGCTTAAGATACTACAGCAAAGTTAAATTTAACAACTTATTCAACAATTTTATTAAATTTTATTCAACAAGGTGTTTGATTGTACTCTTCTGTTTTGCTTACAAACACAGAATCTGATTTAAGTCCACTCTTAACGATATGAAAATTAAGAGGAGCTGAAAAACCTCAGCAGGACTGGCAGCATCTATAGTCAGAGAAACGAGTTTAAGTTTCAAGCTGGAGTTCTGAAGAAGAATCTTTTGCGACCTGAAACATTAACTGCAGTTTTCCGCCTCCAAACAAACTGCTGAGTTTCTCCAACACTTTCTGTTTCTATCTTAGATTTGCAGCATCCCACAGTATTTTGATTTTTGTCTTAGTGATGATAGCTGGCTGGGCTATTGTTTTATCCTTCAAAAGAGTGCCTATCATAAAGAAAGAGGGTAATTTTTTGAATGGAGCATTATATATTTGGTCCTCTCAGATGGGCGTCAAAGATCCCATGGTACAATTTTGAAAAAGAATGGGGCAAGTTCCTCCCTGATGTTCTTGCTAATATTCATCCCTCAATCGTCATTGATCTGATCATTATTGCATAACTGTTGGCAGATTCTTGATGTTCGCAGACTGATTGTTATGGTTCCTACATATAACAATTTGTACTCTTTGAAAATAATGTTGTTGATTGTTTTGAGCTTGGTAATGATTGCCAGCTGGCTATTACAGTTAAAGTGCCTGTCAGATTGACCCAGACTGGTCCTGGGGCACTTGGATAGAAGGTAAAGGCTGGAACTCCTGTCTCATTTATTTTAGACTTTCTTGTTCCAGTGTCTGTCCCTTCCAGATAGCTCCCTCAATATTTCCGAGGTGACTGGGGTCAAAGGCTTCTGACCAAGTTTGCATACCGAGCAAGCAAACGGGGAGGTGATGGCCTAGTGGTATTATTGCTGGACTGTTAATCCAGAGACCCAGATAATGTTCTGGGGACCTGTGTTCGAATCCCGCCATGGCAGATGGTGGAATTTGAATTCAGTAAATATCTGGAATTAAGAATCTGATGATGACCGTGAATCCATTGCCGATTGTTGGAATAAACCATCTGGTTAAATAATGTCCTTTAGGGAAGGAAACTGCTATCCTTACCTGGTTTGGCCTACATGTGCTTCCAGACCCACAGCAGTGTGGTTGACTCCTAACTGCCCTCTGGGCAATTAGGGATGGGCAATAAATGCTGCCTAGCCAGCGACGCCCTCATGCGGTGAATGAATAAAGAAAAAGCCACTGAAATAATTTGTAATTCATTAAGAAGTAATGCAAGATTTCGAATTAAGGCTGGGGCTAAACTGGGACTCACTCTAAGGTGCCTGCTTATGGTGTCAGCTTGAGTTAAGTAAGGGGTGCAGTAGGATTTACAATGGATTTACTTAGCAGCTTTAACATGGTGAAATGTGCTGAGGTGCTCACAGGAGTGTTTTTAACCACAGTAATGAGCTATGAGGACAGCGACGAAAGAAAAGGCAGAGGTTTATGAAGGGCATTTTCAAGCTGAGAAGTCAGCCACATGGAAGAATTGGTGGGGGTGTGGAGAAGACCGCAGAGTTGGGGGAACGCAAAATTTTCGGAGGTTTGTAGGAATGGAAGGAGGCTACAGCAAAAGGGAGGGACAAGCCTAAGAGGGTGGGGGTGCAGTTCAAACAGGGTAATTTTAAATTCAAGCCTTTGCTGAACTGGGAGTCGATCTAGGTGAGTGAGCACAAGAGTAAAGGATGAACAGCACTATTCAGCCTAGTGCTTGAGAATTTATTGATGCATTGGGAGATGTCTGTTGGCTGTGAGCCTCCTGGAAGGAGGCAAGAAAATTGAATAAAAGTTGAAAGCAATGCAGAAGGGGATTCATTCAGTGGTAAATCAATTGCTCAGTTGTTAGCTTTAGATTTGCAAGTAAGGTGGCAATTAATTTTTGAAGGTGTCCTTCTGAAAGTCAGGAGTGTTTATGGCTCTCGGTTCCCAAGGCACAGCAGCAGTTTCTACTAAGTAGCACTTGTTGATTACTCTTGAGTGTAAAAGGTTCCCTAGAAACAAGGTGATCTCTGTTGCCATTCACGCTTCCATTTTTGCCCCAGCTCTTCTGGTGTTAATTCAATGGTAATAATTTTTAAAAGATGGTTGTGGAGAAATGATAGTACAGTGATATCTGGTGGCCAGACTATGCAACTACATGGTGCCAAATCCACTCAGGTTGCTCAATTATAAATAAGGAAGTTAAACTCTGTAATGAAATAGCTAGACCAAAAATGTGTCAAATAAAAAGTGTAAGCAAAAAGTGTAAGCTTTTGTAGACGGGGCATTTGTGTATACAGATGGTCTTTGTTAGGGTGTAATTGGTAAATGGATGGATAAATGACACAAATAAAATACTATTACCATTACCGATACTATAATGGAAAATATCAAGCAAACTTAATCTACTTAGCATGACATCACACACAATTATCTGTGATCTTCTGAAGCAAGTTCAATGACCAGCACCTCAACTTGATTTTTTAACTGAGAAGTCGATGTGTGTTTTGCACAGGATATCATTGAGGTTGCAATGTGGTGGTAATGACTAGCTGACACTGTCCAGAAGTAGAAACACTGTCATGGAAGGGAAACAAAGGCTTGCATTAATACTTGCATCTTTCCTAGCCAAATGGTATTTTCAGCATTTCACAACCATTTAAATATTTTCTGAGGTGGTGCCACTATGGTAAAAAAGGAAGTGTAGCCGTCAATTTGCCGACACGGAATTCGCACAGCAGCAATCTCATAACGATCAGTTAATCTTTTTTAGCAATGTTGGTTGAGAGATAGGGAAAACATCCCGTCCTGTCTTCAAAATAGTACCACGGGATATTCTAGTTCTGCCCAAGAGGGAGAGAAGATAGAGCCTCGGTGTAACATCTCATTTACAAGACAGAATCACTGACAGAGCAGTGTGCCTTCATAACTGAAGTCCAGAATTTGTACTTAAGTCTCTAAAGTGGACCAGTCTGAACAGAAGTACAAGACATTGTTTTCTGAGATATCTGATCTACAGTTGGCCTTGTATCTTAACTAACAAAATTGAAATTGACTTTTAGGACATTATCTCATAGTTGTTTTGGGCCGTAGTTGCTGCATACAATGGAGCTGTCACTGCATTGTTTAGCTGTTAAGCATGTTAGAATATCCTGACGCCGCATGGGACACCGTAGATGTGTGGTTCCATTTTTGCTTGCATTCCTGACAGCTCTAAGCACATCAGTAACTATTGAAGCTGTAGCAGCTATTGTTTCTTGTTTGCAAAATTGGCAGATGAGAATCCTCTGTCAGAGTGGCTTTAACTGCCTGATCTGAAATGAGCATACAATTTGGAACAGCTTGGTTACGTAAGAATATGCTACCCAGGCTCGTTACATTGGTCATGACATTCAGGCAGGCTGCAGAATGGAACAATGGCACAAACATGCAGTGGAAGTACACTGGGTTCAAGGTTTGAGGTTTATCTTTGAGACAGTGTTGCGAGAGTTTTTCTGTACACCAGTGTGTTTGATCTTTGTTTCTGGTGACTTGGTGACTGAAATGGCAGCTTTCCAATACTCAGCCCTAATTGTCATAATATATAACTGATAGAGGTCTTTGGGATTAGTGAGGGTTTTGTAGGGGCAGCATAGAGATTATACTCCATTTGTAAAACAATTGAGATCTAAGGTTTGTAAAAATCTCCAATAAATTCAATAGAGAATTTGGGAGAAACTTATTTATAACAAGTGCATTAGAATTTGAAACTTAATATCTACGCATTAATACTTGCAATATTGTGAAAGGGACACTATATAAACACATGAAAGAGGAAGGATTAGAAGAATATGTTTACTGGGCTGGCCCAATTTTTTTTAAATTTGTCATTGGGATATTGTTAGTAAGATCAATCTTTATTGTCCATATTGAATCACAGCAGTCTCTGTTAGGGAGTGATTTACTGGATTTTAATCCAGAAACACTGAAGAAGTGGGAATATAGTTCCAAATTAGGAGGGGAGCTTGCATATAAGGGTGTTCCCATGTGTCTGCTGCTGTTGTCTGTCTTTGTCGAGTTTGCAGTCTTGGAAGGTGCTGTTGAAAGAGCCTTAGTTGACACAGCTGCCTCTGTGTGCCAGTGACAGACAGATGGAATGAACGTGTACAATGTTGAGTGGGGTGCCAGTCAAGCTGGATGGGTTAGAAATGGGGTAGAGTTTCTTGAGTGGTGTTGGAGTTGCATCCAGGATGGTGGACGGTATTCCATCGCACTCCCAACTTGTGACTTGTTGATCGTGGATAGACTTTGAGGTGACAAGAGGTGTTTACTCACTGAAGAATTCCCAGCCTCTGGCCTGCACTTGTGACCTTCCTATCTAGTCCAATTCAGTTTCTGGTCAATGGTACCCCTAAGGATATTGGTAGTGGAGGGATTCAATTTGTAGTGCTATTAAATATCAACAGAAGATGGCCATTGCCTGATATTTCTGTAGTGCAGATGTTACTTGCCAATTATCAGCTCAATGCGACAGGTCTTATTGCCTGTTGCCTCAGTATCTGTGGATACAAACAGTACTACAAACTGCAGTTATCAGCAAATATCCTCTTTCCTGATGATGGAGGGAAGGCCATTCATGAAGCAGTTGAAGATGGTTGGGCCTGGAACACTACCCTAAGGAAATGTAGTGATATCCTGGGGCTGAGGTGATTGAGATCCAACAACCACAGCCATCTTTGTCTGTGCCTGGCCTGACTTCAACCAGCAGATTCCCATTGATTTCAACTTTGCCAGGGCTCCTTGACAACACATTCAATGAAATGCCACCCGGATGTTGAGGGCAGTTGCTCTGACCTCATCTAGAACTTATCTCTTTTGTTCATGCTTGGAGTAAGGCTGCAATGAGATCTGCAGCTGAGCAGCCCTGGTAGAACCCAAACCGAGCGGTGGAAAACAGATTCATAGAATCCCTACAGTGTGGAAACAGGCCCTCCGGCCCAACAAGTCCACACTGACACTCAGAGCATCCCACTCAGACCCATGCCCCTATAACCTACATAATCTACACATCCCTGAACACTACGGGCAATTTAGCACGGCCAATCCACCTAGCCTGCACATCGTTGGACTGTGGGAGGAAACCGGAGCACACCCACGTAGACATGGGGAGAATGTGCAAACTCCACAAAGACAGTCGCCCGAGGCTGGAATCGAACCCGGGTCCCTGGTGCTGTGAGGCAGCAGTGCTAACCACTGAGCCACCGTGCCACCCCAAATTGAGATTGTTGTTCAGTAAATGCTGCTTTATAGCCCTGTCATTGACGACTTCTGTGACTTTTCAAGGTTTGAAAGTATGGGGGTAGCAGTTAGCTGGATTGGATTTGTCTCGCCTTTCATGGGTGGACCAATTTTCCACCTTGTTGGTTAGATACCCCTGTAACCTCTTGGGTAAGCTTGGAACAGCTTGAGTAATTCTCCAGTATTACAACCAGGATGTTGTCAGGGCTCATAATCTTGGCAGATGCCTTCAACCATTTCTTGATATTGTGTATAGTGAATCAAACCGGCTGAGGATTGGCACCTGTGCTCTTGTAGATCTCTTGTAAAGCTGAAGTAGATCATTCGTTATGTACAGCTAAAGTCAGTCGTGAATGCTAGAGGCTTGTCTTTGGCACTGATCTGCTGAGCATCCTCATAATTGAGGATGGAGTTGTTTGTTGAGCCTCCTCCTCCATTTAGTTGTTCAATTGCTGCCCTCTGTTCATGACTGAATATAGAAGGATAGGCTGGATGGCCTATTTTAGTACTGTACGTTCTATGTAATCAGTTGCATTGAGTTCAGATTTATTAGCTAATGGGAAATTTTGTTAAATTGCTGGTCTGTTCAATGGAACAATACTTCAGCCTTGAAAAGATTGAGAATGAAATGTAATCTTTGCAAACCAGAAGTGCTGGCATACTATCAGGGTGAGATTCAGCAATCCACAGGGATTAGATGTCTTGCATCATCTCTAATGCAAGATTAAATTTGATGCTCATACCTCAGAAACTGAAAAATGCACAGTGCTTTAGCAAGATATGTAATGTTTAGGTCACGGTTCCTGTGTGTTTCAGATAAAGCAGTCTATTTGAAATACTGGTCACAACCCATCAGTCAGTCTTTTGGGCTAAATCAGAACAGCAGAGAAACACTTGACAAAGAAATTGTAACTCGGTCAAAAGCGATTAGCTTTCGAAAGCATGCACTGCTGTGTATACAAAATATAGAGAAAGTGTATTTAGAGTGTCAGGATTTTGCACTAGAATTAACATAAGTTATACCATAGCTAATTTGCAAACTGATGGACTTTATCCACATCATTTGGGCTTCATTGTAGTCACTGATTGTTCTGTTTGTTTGTACAGTCATCGTGTAGATTAAAGTCCAAAAGATGAGCGGTTTATTTGTAATATGCCATTAAAATGCTTGAATGTTTAGTTATAGTAAGTTAAAGCAGTTAGCACAAAGAAATGTTTCAAACCTTGATGGTGTGCATCATGATTTCCACATTTTTTTGTACAATTCTTTTTCGTTTTGCAGGTGTTTGATGCTGCCAGGAAGAGCATGCTTCGGAAATCCTACCTATTAACGGATGAGGTGGGTATTTCTTTCTGTTTTCATTTCAGATTTCCAGCATCTGCATTACTTTGATGTTGCATTCTTGTGGGCTAGCGGGTACTGAACTGTGCTTCCTCTCAACAAAGCATACTGTTCTGTCTGTGCACAAGACCTTGGTTCTGTCTTATTTAGAATTCTGTGTCCCATTATAGTCTCCTTCAGTGGTTAGCACTGCCGTCTCACTGCACCAGGGACTCAGGTTCAATTCCAGCCTTGGGTATCTGTGTGGAGTTTGCACATTCTCCCCGTGTCTGCGTGGGTTTCCTCCGGGTGCTCTGGTTTCCTCCCACAGTCCAAAGATGTGCAGGCTAGTGGGATTGGCCATGGGAAATGCAGGGTTATGTGGCGATAGGTTAGGACACTGCCTCCGGGTGGGATGCTCATTGGAGGGTCAGTGCATGCTCGATGGGCAGAATGGCCTCTTTCTGCACTGTGCTTATTCTGTAATTCCATTAACAATATACTATCTTTCAGTGGGATTTTAAATCTCGACACCATTTGTTCTGTCAGATGGGTTTGAAAGGCACCATTTGGAGCAGCAGGGAAGATCTGTCCTCCTTTTGACTGTCGATACTGAACAAAACGAAAACAGAATTATGTAGCCATTATGATTTGCTATTTGTGCCGTCCTGCTGTGTACATATGGGCTGTTGCACTTTCCCCACACTTCAACATTAACTGTAAAGGCCTTTTGAGATCCTGAGGCTATTAAAGAAATAGTTCATATATTTTTTTCTCTTCCCCGTCTAGGCACTGAGAAGACATCTGCTTCACTTCAAATTGCCCAACGTGGAGTCACCCTGTGGCTTTGACATGTACGAGCAGCTGCCCCTGATGAGACGCAGGTGGATGCAAAAAGTCCTCAGGGACCTTATATCTCCAGAAGTCGGGTTGGAGGCACAGTAATGGGTGAGAAGCTGGCACCAGGGAAGGGGGGATCCCAGTCCAGCAAGTGCTTTTCCAGTAGGCATGCGAACCCGAATCCCACATGCCCTGAGATCTGAATTTGAGTGGAACGGCTGAGAGTTGTCTACCTGAACTGACTGACAAAAGTCCTTTTATATCTGAGAACTCCTCATATGTTTATAAAGGTGAGTTTTAATTTGCAGTCAGCTTGGGCCATAAAGACGGTGGCCTGGAGCCAGACGTTGGCCTGAAGCCTGATGATGGAGCCCTGGACGAGCAGGTAATACAGGATGACGCCACTGCCACCACAAACACCCTTCTACCAGAGCAGGTTTTGCCTTGATGACCAGGAGCTCATCCACAAGTCAGTACTGGGTGCACCACCAGTGTTTTAACTGTACCATGAGATAGGATGCCTGATTCCAGGTTTACTCGGATGCTGTGTTAACTCAAAGAGCTGATTTCCTCTCTCGACACTTGAGAGGGCAATTTCTGGAGAGTCCAGCTGAACTTTGTAACTGTGCCTTCACAGAGGAAGATTTGAACATTTTGGAATGGCTTGGCCTGCAATGAATTGCGCAAAGTGTTTCTTGTCCCATCTTCCATGGGTTGCAGTTGCTTGCTGTTGAGGCAGTTTGCACGGGTGAGATTTTACATCGGGCGTCTGAACTGTGAGCCACAGATCCAATGTACCTTAATTTTGAATAAATTATACAACTTTTTCTTTCATATCCGTGTGCATATGTGTTTGGGATATGATGGAGGATGACCTGGGAAGGGTTTGAATCAGTTGAAAACAGGGAGGGGTAGAGGTTATCACCAAAGTATCGTGAGGTATTAGCTGGAAAATTGTGTTCCATTCTAGGTGCAAGGCTTTAGGCTCAAGATCTTAGAGAGGGTGCAGATGAGATTTACTGGATTGGGAGTAGTTTCAGGAATGAGGCAACTTCAGTTATGTGTTGCGTGGAGGGGGTTTATTATGTGCCGTAGAGCAGAGAAGGTTAAGGGAAGGGTTAAGGGCAGTGTCTCCATTGAGAAGCTGGTAATTGGTTGATAAATCAAGCACTCGATTTTAAAAAGTTGGCAAAAAGAGCAGAAGAGATGAATGTTAGGATGTAGAAATGCTGGTTGAAAGGGTGGCAGAAGCAGAATCGTTAATAACTTTCAAAAAGAGAACTGAATAAATAATTGATGATAAAATGATTTTAATTGGGCTGGCGGTGGGGGTGGGGGATGATGAGCAGGGCAAAAGGATTAATTGGATAGCTAATTCAAAGAGTCAGCATGGGTATGAATGGCCTCTTTTAGTACTCTATGATTCTGTGCAGTGGAGCACATTGAATGACAGGGAGGAGTTCAGTGTTCATTAAGAGCTCTCAACTGATGTACAAAATCCAGATTCAGAGTAGCTGCCATGGTACAGCCGAACCAGACTTTTTTAAACCATTTCCAAATTGGTCAGCTGGCATGGCTAGTAAGGGATCTCTAAGAAACCATCAGCCTCTGCTCCTTGTCAACTTGCTTTTAACCAACACCTTCACAGGAGTGTAAATACATTAAAAATCAACATCAAAGCAAAGAAAATATTAGGATGGGTGACCAAACTTGTGGCTGGGCAAGTGAATAGATTTAGAGAGGGAATCCAAAAGTCAGGATTGAAGACGTGGACAACATTGGCAGAGCAATGGGAGTGGAGAGTGAAGAAGTGGAAGATCTTGGAGAGTTGGTTGGGGGGAATGGGAGCAGGAGGAGAATACAGGAATAGAGAGACCTGAGCCTGTGAAGAGACTGACACTGTGAGCCAGTGATGCTCCTTTAATTGCATGTCAGTGCCACAGATACTCACTCATGGTGATTGAATTTACTTTGCCTTTCCTGGATGTGTTATCATGCTTTCCATATGCGTGTACAGTTGCTGACTAATCTGAGTTAAACTTGATTAAAGTTTCTTGTCAAAGATTAAAATGAAGAGCTGCCTCCTCTAGTAACCTTTTTAGATTTCAATTTTTAGATGTGGAATGAGTTTGAACCTTCTCGATGCTCAGTGTAAAAGCTAACTTGATTGCTACATAATTTTGCAATTGCGCTCGAAACCCAGAAGATGACTCGTGCAAGAAAGGGAAAGAAACCACTTGCGTGAAGTATGAGGCCGAGTTTCTTAATTTGGTGCTGAAATGCTCAAGGAATTATGCATCTGACCTTTGACCACTTTGCGCTAACATAGGGTTCTAACTAGTTAGTTATCATTCAGCCGCATTAGCATACCTCCAAAAGCAAAACATAATGTCCTACATTACAATGGCACAAAAGAAAGCACTTAAGAAGAATTTATATAGCACCTTTCACAACCTTAGGATGTCACAAAGTACTTTTCTACAGCGTACTCTTGATGTTTTGTTACTGTCGTCATGCTAGAAGAATGATAGCTAATTTGAACACAGCAAGTTTCCATAAACAGCACTCTAATAACTTGTGCTGATGAATATTGGTTTGAGGGGTAAATGTTGGATAGGACACTGGGGAGAACTCCCCTGCTAGTTTTATATACCCTAAAGAGCAGGCAGAACCTTGGATGAATGTTTTAGTCAAAAGACAGCACCTCCAACTACATGTTGCTCCCTCAGCACGGCATTCATGTTTCAGCCTTGAGCCCTGTGTTCAAGTGTACTGGACAAGTCAGAATCCAGAATGTCAGTCAGTAGGTTTTATTTTTGCAATTTGTCAATGTAATGGTCATTCACTGAACATATTCAAAAGAGGCTGTCAGTGTTCTTCTAATAAAGGAACATGGGTTTATTAAGCAAAAGAAAAACAAGAAAAAAAAATGACAATTTGGAAAGATCATATAAACAGCAAAAGAAAGATTCAAAACCCTCTTCCTGAACTAACCACGACAAGTGCTCAATCCCACTAAAGTACCAATTCTGTCTTCACTTCAGCATTTCTTAGTGAACTGACAAGGTCACAAACATTTCCTTTTGCCAATTTTCTGTGCCTTCACCAGCTGTGATTCTCACTGAGAGACTCATAGACCTTTTTCTGATTTTGATTATGTTGGTGGTACTAAGTGCTCAAGACTTTTTTTCCAGCTCTGATGGCCTGAGATTTCCACAAACTAAAATTGTCCTCCTGCTGGAATGAACCTTCTGAACTCAACCTGCTTGTGACCCATGGCCGCTTGTGTTTGCTGTGCAGCTTAAAAGCTGAAGCCAACAGCAAGCAGAAATTCTCTCGTCAGGTAGCTTGTTAAATCATTTAGTTGAAGTCACATACATTCTTGACTTTGACTTCATTAGAAATAAAATTCAACCCTGTTTGGCTCTGGAAACCAAAACCCTTTTTACCTCAGAGTCCAAATTCCCAAAGCAATAACATATTGTAAACTTTCGTAATATGAACACGCCACCATTGGCTCTGAAAGTGTCACACAACCCAGATTGAGCACAGCGATTTGAACAAGAATTGGTGTCACAGCCAAACCTGATACCAATCTGATACAGACCCACTGATGATGATAAGAAGTCTGAAATGTAAGTAATTATTCAGGTCATGATCTCAGTGAGATTATAACCTTCCTGCATAGTCACTCTGGCTGAAGGTGCAGACTCAGTACTAAATACTTGATGATGCAAGCCTGAGTTTGCTATCACTACAATTGCAAAGGGTTGTACCCTCACCCCATACAGTCACCAGTGCCTGTGACAATACCGCTAGTGATGCCACAGGACTTGGGTAATAGCTTCACTCGAATTTATTTGGTGGAACAGCCTGGTGCCCCTAAAACAAATTGTAAAACTGCTGACTCAGAGGAGTGCTCAAAGAGAGCCCTCCCTGCTTCATCTGCCATCTCAGTTACTGCTGTCCTCCCTCAGCTAAGTGGTGAGCCAGGAAGTGAGAGGGATGGTGAGAGGAGTGTGAATGGAATGCTGTGGGATGGGGGAGTGTGAGGTGACGAGAAAGAGACAACAGCAAGGAACCCAGTATTGACATTGACGCTGACCTCCTGTTCTATTGGTGGGAAATCGAGTTGCTGAAATTACCATTTAGTCCAAAGCTACCTCAGTCAAGCTAACCCCCCACCCCGTGCCAGTTTCTCATAGCTCATACTAAGTGTTTTGACAGACACACACACAAATGCACAAGGTAGGAAATGGATCAGAGCATACTGGATAGTAATTGTTGTTTGATGCTGGGCCCCAGGGAGTCTGCAGGATTGGTCAATGTCTTTCTCTGGGAGAAAAAGAAAGAAATAGGAGCAAGAGTAGGCCATCTAGTCTGTCGCGCCTGCTCCGCCATTCAGTAAGATCATGGCTGATCTTTTTCGTGGACTCAGCTCCACTTAAACACACCATAACCCTTAGATTTTTGAACAGTAAAGGAATTATCTATATTTGTCTTAAAAACATTCAATGAGGTAGCCACAACTGCTTCACTGGGCAGGGAATTCCATAGATTCACAACCCTTTGGGTGAAGAAGTTCCTCCTGAACTCAGTCCTAAATCTGCTCCCCCTTATTTTGAGACTATGCCCCCTGGTTCTAGTTTCACCCGCCAGGGAAAACAACTTCTTTGCTTCTCTCTTATCTAATCCCTTCATAATTTTATATGTTTCAGTAAGATGCCTCTGTCGTTCTTCTATAGTCCAATGAGTATAGTCCCAGTCTACTCCATCTCTCCTCATAAGCCTGCCAGTGGAAACAACCTCCCTGCTTATATCTTATTTATTTCCTTCATAATTTTATATGTTTCTATAAGATTTCCCCCTCATTCTTCTAAATTCCAATGAGTATAGTCCCAATCTACTCAATCTTTCCTCATTAGCCACCCCTCTCAATTCTGGAATCAATTTAGTGAACCTCCTCTGCATCCCCTCCAGTGTCAATATATCCTTTCTCAAGTAAGGAGACCAAAACTGTACACGGTACTCCAGGTATGGTCTCACCAGCACCCTATACAGCTGCAGTATAGCCTATCTATTTTTAAACTCCTTCTCTCAAGCAATGAAGGACAATATTCCATTTGCCGCCTTAATTGCCTGCCGCACCTGCAAATCAACTTTTTGTGATTTGTGCACAAGGACACCCAGGTCCCTCTGCACAGCAGCATGCTGCAATTTTTCATCAATTAAACAATGGTCCATTTTGCTGTTATTCCTACCAAAATGGATGGCCTCACATTTACCAACATTGTACCCCATCTCCCAGACCCTTGCCCACTCATTTAACCAACCAGTTCCCTGCTGTTTGCATTTTTATTTTTCTCTTTGTACTTTCATGGATGGCCACGTACCCATCTCCAACACTATCCATCAACTTAACTCAACCAGCATAAGGCATGGTAAGGTTGGCACTGACCTCACGACTGGGGCAGCAAAAGGATCTGATATTACAACATCTACTCTGTCCACTAGACCAATCACACTTGTTATTGCATTCTAGCTCATGCATCTCTTTGCTATGTGTTTTGCTTGTAACCTGCAGGTCTGTTTCAGTGATAGATATATCCTGTGAACAGACTTGAGTGCTGTGTGTCAAATGCTGTGATGTCCATTCAGTCTGGCTATGCACCAACGACATCATCAATCAGTGTTATTTGTCTAATGACGAGGTGCACTGGCAAGCAACCTCAATTTTCAGCAGCTTTCTCCATCCAACTGTGAGCGTCAAGAGTGTGTGTCAGCACAGGCAGCTGAAACCCCAGCCTCTACTCACTAAGACATCCTCGATTGCA